AGCCACACCACTCAAATAAGGATAAAGTAAACATCTATCGCATAGTGGTTTGGATACAATTTTCCCAATGAAGATATTCAGTGTCTTGCATGTACTTACAATAATAATTGTAAAAACAACAAAAAAAAGCCAGCTGCTGATATTATTGTTATGACTATCATGGATGCCATTATTAATCACTCTGGGTTGTATGCAGGGACCTTAGCATGCTGGGTACACTGGCCCTTTCTGGGAGCCTGTCTTGGTAGCCTCATCTCCACTAGCGTGTACCGAGGCAGAGGAGAGAGTGCTGGGTGGAGTCATTGGCTTAGTGGTGTGGAGACACCGGGAGATGAATATCAGGTACACAAGGTCCCCAGGCAGGAGGTGCTGAGATGTGGGAGAGTGCTGGTGAGGCAGCGGGGAGTCAGGGACCCAGCTCAGTGGGGGAGTGGATGGAATGGGCATACGATGGGGCTTTTCATCCTTGTCATGTGCTTCGTTGCAGTGTTCTCCATGCCAGCCCAGCACATTGCAGGGACCCCAGGTCACTCACCACGTGGACCTGAGCTGTCTGTTGGCTTTGCCCCTGGGGATACCAGCCTTCCGCGGGTGGCCCCTGGCTTTGGATCCCTGCCACGGGTCTGATTTGGCTCCAGATGTTTTGACTGGTCCCACCCAGCTCTCTCCTTCCTGACTCATGGGACAGGAAGCTCCTGGCTACAGGCGGTGGCTCTGAGCAATGGTCTCTTCCTCTCTCTGTCAGCAGGGAAAGGCCCTAGAGGCGACCGGGCCATGCACTTGGCGGGGCGGGGGAGGGGTGGGCAGGGTTGTTGTTCAGTAAAGAGACACTGGGCTTCTGGTGTGAGCATTGAAGAGTGAGAGGCATCCGCGGGGCTGGGGTGCGTGGTAACCTACCAGGGTGCTCTGAAAAGGACGCGACCTGCATCTCAGGCTCTCGCCTCAGTGGCAGGGGCTTTTGTGGGAAGGATGGAGAGAGGCTAATGAAGGAAGGAGGGGAAAGGCCGGACACCCTTCCTAGGGAGCTTTCCTGGTACCAGGCAGTTTGCGGTCATGACATGGTTTTCTTTGTATAATGACTTCCTGGGAAGGAATGGTCCACTTAGGTTCAAAAGGAAGGAATGAGGAGTCTGGCACCCCTTGTACCAGCATCTCATATGGGCACTGGTTTATGTCCAGCTGCCCACTTCTGATCCAGTCCTCTGCTTATGGAAAGCAGTAGAGCTGTGGCCTTGGGACCCTGCACCCACATGGGACACCCAGAAGAAGCTCCTGGCTCCTGGCTTCAAATTGGCTCAGCTCTGGCTGGTGCAGCCATTTGGGGAAGTGAACCAGTGTATAGAAGACCTTCTCTTTTTCCTTCTCTCTCTGTAAAAATCTGCCTTTCAAATAAAAATAAAACTTAAAAAAAAAAGTGGCGGCGGGGGGGGGTGTTTGTATATACAGAAACCAATTCAACATAGCCACAAGACTGGTAAGTCGTCCTAGTCGACATGTACTGTGATTTTCCACACTGCTGTTTCTGGGAATCGGAACTTGACCTGATGTGTCCTAACTCTCATCTCAGCCCAGAGATTCTGGGTGGGGCTTGTGCCACTCACAACTCCAGGATGAGCTGTGTGTGACTCAGCCCTGACCGATCCACATCCTCCTACCCCTTCCTGGATATAGACACGTGACCACATGGGGCCACTGGAACCAGAGAGAACTAGATGTTTGTTTTTGTCTTAAGATTTATTTATTTTTATTGGAAAGGCAGATCAGATCTTCCATCCACTGGTTCACTCCCCTAGTGGCTACAACGGCCAGAGCTGAGTCAATACAAAGCCAGGAGCTTCTTCTTGATCTCCCATGCGGGTGCAGGGTCCCAAGGCTTTGGGCCATCCTCTTTCTCAGGCCACAGTCGGGGAGCTGAATGGAAGTGAAGCAGCTGGGACACACAGCAGTGCCTGTGTGGGTTCCCAGTACTTTCAAGGTGAGGATTTAGTCATTGAGCCATCACGCTGGGTTCTAGCTGGGGTTTTCGTTAGCACTACTCTTAGGATGCTAGTTCTTGAGCTAAGAGAGATAGGAAGTGGACATTTAGCCTAACAATGAAGATGCCCTTATCTCCTGTGGGAGTGCTTGGCTTCAGAGTCCTGGCTCCGGCTCCTCACTTCAGCTTCCTGCTCTCACTACCTTAGGGAGCCAGGAGCAGTGAGTCAAGCAGCTGGGATTCTGCCACTCATTCGGAAGACGTGGACTACATTCCCCGGTCCTGGCTCCTGCCTCTGCCTAGCCCTGGCTATTGTGGACATCTGGAGAGTAAACCAGCTCTCCACATCTGTCTCTCGGAGGGGAAAAAGAAAAGAAAAAAAGGAGATAGCTAGAATATAAACCTGGCTCTTTTGCAGTGACAACAAACCAGGCTTGTTGAGAAAGTAGCTGACTTAAATAAGAAATAAGACATCATCTGGAAAGCTCGTTCCAACCACAAACTGTGGATACCGTCAAAACTGGTCTACCCTTGGGATTTTTATTTAGATGAACCAATAAATTCTCTTTGTCTAGATACTTGCAACAGACTCTGCTGCAGCTGAACTAATTATTTTTTTAAAGATGTATTTATTTATTTATTTGAAAGGCACAGTTACAGAGAGAAAGATCTTCCATCCCCTTGTTCACTCTCCAAATGGCCACAATGACTGGAGCTGAGCTGATCCAATGCTTCATCCGGGACTGCCACATGAGTGCAGGGACCCAAGGCTTTGGGTCGTCCTCTGCTGCTTTCCCAGGCCACAAGCAGGGAGCTGGATGGGAAGTGGAGCAGCCAGGACTTGAACCGGTGCTCATCTGGGATGCCAGTAAGGCAGACGCAAGCATTACGCACTACGTCATGGATGCTGGCCCATGAACAAGTTCGTATGATGAGAGTATGCTAGGAAGCTTCAAAAACTCCTAGCATCATGAAAAAATGATGTGTAAGTTAACATTTTTTTTTTTTTTGCTTCAAAGTAAACTTTTTCATTTCATTCAGTTTTGCAGGAACATTTTGATGTACTCTCGCAGGGCTGGAGTTCAGACTTGTCTATTAGCCTTGGTCAGTCAGTTGCAGATTTATTTTTACTTGGGTTTCACGGGCTCCACGTGAGCTGTGCTGGTAAATGTTTCACAAACAAATGCAAAACCCTTGCCAGCTTCTGTGGTGTAAATATTCTCACCGTGGTCAATTTTGGTACTGAATGCAGAGCCGGTGAGAGAGAGCAGAGAGAGCATGCCATTATAGTTAGTACCTTCACTCCAGTTACTTGCTGAAGGTAACCTTGAGAGGTTATGTGGAGTAGCAAAATGTACTTGATTAAAAATAAAATCTATTCTTTGCTCTGGATCTAATTCATTTCATTGTATGTTTACACAATTTCATTTGTAATACTATTCCAACCAAAGTAGCTCGCCAAGTCACCCCAAAACTATGTCATTGGCATTTGTGAGCTGACATTGAGGGGCAGGTTTCAGTATCATGGATCTCTTACAGGGGCCCCCAGCAGGCAATGTTCAAGAACTTGGAGTAGAAGCTCTGGCTGGAAGTTTACAGGGGGTCTCAAATGGAGGCGAAGATTTTGCCCTCAGTGAAGGCCTTTGCTGGGTGGAATGTGCAGTGAACCTGAGTGGTGTAGGGGAAGGCCTTTGGCTCCTGGTTGACTTGGCACACCTACAGCCCTTATTGGGAGCACCAAGGTTTGAGAACTGACTTCACCGTTGAATCAAGCTTTCTCACCCAGGAGTGCCCCGGGAGGCAACAGGTGATGGCCCGAGGAGCTGAGTCCATGCCCACCACGTGGAGTTCTGGAAGGAACTCTGGAGTCCTGCGGGGTATCTCAGGCTCCTGGCCTTAGTCTGGCCCAGTCTTGGTTGCTGTGGGCACTTGAGTCGTGACACAGTGGTTAGAATATCTAGTTCTAACTTTTAAGTGAATGAAAATAAATAGACCTTTTTACACAGACAAACAAAACATTGTGGGAGATGGAAGTTTAGAAAGATAAGCAGGTGAGCCAGTGCTGCAACATAGCAGGCTAAGCCTCTGACTCATAATGCCAACATCCCAAAACGGCACTGCTCCAATTCCTGGCTGCCTCACTTCCAATCCAGCTCCTTGGTTATGGCCTGGGAAAGCAGCAGGGAGGGGTGTGGGTGTGGGGAGGAGGGTAACTGGTGGTGAGGGGGGAGCCTGAACCCACATGGGAGACCCAGAAGAAGCTCCTGACTCCTGGCATTGAATCAGCCCAGCTTCAGCAATTGTGACCATTTGGGGAGTGAACCAACAGACTGAAGATTTTTCTGTCTCTCCTCTTTGTAAATCTTCCTTTCCAATTAAAAAAAAAATTTTTTTAAAAAGAGATAATGAAATAATACTGCTTTCTTATTTTTTTAAAAAAAAGAATAAGCATTTCTGAGTATAAAATTTAGAAAAATGAATAGATTACTACCTAGCTGAATGGGGATTTATAACCTGGAGATAACTTACAGATAGCCAAGAGATTGCACTCCTCGCGTGGTCGGCAGGTTCTGCTCTGAAGGAGGAGTTGTCAGCCAGCAAAACGTGACTGAGCAGAAGCTCTGGGGAGTGGGATGCCCGACAGCAGAGGGCCCTCTGGCCACACGGAGGGACAATGCAAGCAGACACCAACCTCAAGCTCCACCTGGCACTGCTCTTCTTCCTATCCCTGGGGTGGGGGGCAGAGGGCAAGGGGGTGCCATTGATACCATCCTCTAGGGGGGCGCTGAGCAGGGAGAGAGGTGCAGAAGGTCTCAAGGTCAAAGGCACAGTGTGCTGTCCCCTGCCCCCTACCCCTCACCTGTGCATCTTTCAGCCTCGTGGAGACTCCTGGGGTGACCAGAGTGGGATTTTGCTGCCTCCTTTGGTCCTGCCTTCTGCAGAGGCCCAGCAGATCGTAGCCTTCTGTCTTGAGACTCTGCCAAGTTCCCTATGGTAGACCTTCCGTTGGGGGAGCCTTGGTCTGTTAGCGGAGATCTGGGGTATCGGGCTTCAGTGCTTTGTCCTCAGGGGTAACTCGATCTGAGCGTTCTCTCATCTGTAAAACCAGGGACCTGGACTAAGCCATGATAATTAAGGACATCTCTGAGTTGGAATGGTTAATGGAAGACTGATAGTTCAATCCTGGGGTCAGGTGCAGAACAAAAAGTGTGTCTTTTCATGGCCAGGAGGTGGCAGCAAAGCTCTGCTTGGATGGGGGCTGTAGGCCAGGGTAGGCTCTGCGCTCTCTGGCCCTAGAACTCAAAAGGTCTGGTTTGGACTTTACCTAGGAACTCAAACAAAAACAGCAACAACAATATTGTAGTACTGTTATCATTACTAGTAGTAAAACAGAAGCAACAATGCCACATTGCTGAGCAAAGCTTTATTGTTGTTGTTGTTGTTATTTATTTAAAACGCAGAGTTATAAAGAGATTCTTCCATCTGCTGGCTCGCTCCCCAGTGGCTGCCACAGCCAGGATTCTACCAACCTGAAGCCGAGTTTTTCCAGGTCTTCACTTGGGTACAGGAGCCCGAGGATTTGGGCCACCCTCTGCTGCTCTCCCAGGTGGATTAGCAGAGGTACGAGTTGGGGCAGCTGAGACTTGAACCAGCACCCATGTGGGAATACTGGCATCACAGGCGGAGGTTTAGCCTGCTGTGTCACAAAGTCAGCCCTGAGGGAAGATTTTGGCACAGCGACACCTGACAACCTTGTAACATGCCCATCATGTGGTGGGGGCAGTGTGAGAGCAGGACGTTCAAGCCCTAGGATCAGGCTCCTCAGACACATTTCCTGACTTGTACCGGGCCTTCTAGAAGGTTAGGATGTGCCCAGCCAGGAACCCACTCTCTCCTGTTTTCTTCCTCCACACTCCCTGTCTCATGCTCTGAAGACCCCAGGAGAGGCCCTTTCTGCCCCTCTGGCTATGGGGACAGAGTGAGAGAGGCCAGAGGCCCCCAGCTGGCCAGGATGGGGTCCCCCAGCTGGCTGATTGGGGGATGCTGGGCAGGGGAACCCAGGCCCTCCTCTTACTCTTTCTTCCAGTCCCCAGAAGGGACAAGAAGGGTGAGAGAAGGAGAGCCAGAGCAGAAAAAGATTCTTATTTCATTGTTTATTTGAAAGGCAAGGAGACAGATTAAGAGAGTTTTTTTCCCATCCTCCGCTTCACTCCTCAGATGCCTACACTGGCCTGTGCTAGGTTAGGGGCCAACAATCCGAAACTCAATTTGGGTCTCCCACGAGGGTGAAGGAGTCCCAAGTACTTGAGCCATCACCTGCTGCCTCCTGGGGTGCCTACTGACAAGAAGCTGAGAGGCTGGGACTTCAACTAGGCACTCTGATACAGAGTGCTGGGGTCTCCTCCAGCCACTTGGCTGCTCCACCAAATGCCCACCCCAATTATTCAATTCTTTTTGTTTTCACATTTATGTATTCTTATTGGAAAGGCAGATATACAGAGAGGAGAGGCAGAGAGAAAGATCTTCCACCTGCTGATTAACTCCCCAAATGACCGCAATGCCCAGAGTTGAGTTGATCTGAAGCCAGGAGTCAGGATCTTCTTCTGGGTCTCCCAGGTAGGTGCAGGACCCCAAGGCTTTGGGCCATCCTCTACTGCTTTCCCAGGCCACAAGCAGGGAACTGTATTGGAAATGGAGCAGCTGGGACATGAGCCAGCACCCATATGGTATCCCAGCACTTGAAGGGGGAGGATTAACTAACTAAGCCATTGCACTGGGCCCCCGATTTTTCAGTTCTTGTCATTCCACATCTCTACCTAGGCATGGAAGATTCACATTCATTCACTCCTTCATTCAGTCACCCAAATTCTGATGTGACAGAAGACACAGCTAGGGGCAGGCATTTGGTCCGGGGGTCCTGGCTTTGCTTCTGATCTGGCGTCATGCTGCTGTACACTCTGAGATGGTAGCAACTGGGTCTCTGCGCCCTGTGAGGGAGACTGGATGGTGTTCCAGGCCCCTGACTTTGGCTGTGCCGAGCATTTGAGAAGTGAGTCAGTCAATGAGAAGGTCTATCTTTTTGTCTCTCTGCCTCTCCAATGAAACTAAAAACTAAAAAGACAAAGAAAGACTAAAACAACTCAATTAAAAAAGACATAGTTGTGCGCTGTGAAGGATGGAGGCAAGTTCTTTCTCTTCTAACTTGGAAATCTGGTGCCGGGAGCTGGGTGTTGGGTCACCAGGCAGTTGCAGACACATTGAGAGGTGGCTTTTTCCTACAGGGAGCCCAGGTGTCCTGGGGAACGCTGGAGAAACTGGAACTCGGGGCTGGTTTTGGGGGCACACCAGGGAGGAATGCATGGTCTTTGATGCCCCCTGCCCCAACTGCACATGTTAATTGCTCAAGCCAGAGGAACCCCCTCAGAGACACAACCGAAGCCTCAAACTGATCTTCCCACGTGGCTGTTGTGAATGCTCTGCCACGGACCTCAGGGGAGCTCCCCCGCCAAGCTAGGATCTCCCTTCCTTTGGTTATAGGCTCAGAGGTGGGATCATTGGATTACAGGCTAGCTCTCGTTGGAATTTTCCAAGTATCCCACCCTGTTTCCCATAATGATGGTATCTCTGCGTGCCTACCAGTAGTGTACATTCGCCCCCTCTTCTCCAGGTTTTTGCTGGCTCTTACTTTCTGTCCTCAAATGTGTGGACGGCCGAGGGTTTATGCCAGCCAGCGATTTCCCCGTCTTAGGTTTTCACCTTGCTAGGGGGCTGGGGACAAGGAGGCTGCACTTTCCCGTGACTTTTTGTCTCTCATGTTTACAGCAGAACAGACATTCCCACGGAGAGAAATGGAGCATGGCAGTGACCACAGCAGAGCCAGCAGCTGAGCACTGAGACTTTATTGCTCATACACTTCCCACCTCTCGCCTCCAGGGCTCCCACTGCAAGGGCTCCAGAGGGCTTCATTCTTCCATCTTCTGTGGAAGGAAAAAAATATATGCATGCAGGAAATGAGTCACAACAAGGGGAGGCTGGGTGTCGCCTTCAGCAGTGAGGAAGTCTGGAACTTCAGAAGCTTGTTCCGGGGACAGTTCCCTGCAGAGTGCCATCTCCGCCCATTGCGTCTCGGTCACTCCCCCAAGAGAGCAGAGATGCATGGTGGCTTGTGCTGCTCAGTTCTCTGCACCTGTGGGTGCTGCAGCAGCACCAGATCTGACTGGTGGCCCGGTCTCAGGGCCACCCCAGGTCTTGTCACTTTCAGGGAACCATGCTCACCTGGCCCCCCACGTCCCGGCTCTTGGCCCGGAGCTTGTTGACCTGGGACTCGGCAATGTCTGCCCGTTCCTCCGCCTCCTCCAGCTCGTGTTGGACTCGGCGGCACCTGGACAGCTGTGTGTTGGCCTGCTCCTCCTGCAGAAGAGATGGACCAGGTGGCTGTGGGGCTTGTTGGGGTCCCTTGCTGTGGTTCTTAGCATTGGGGAGGTGAGGAGAGGGCAGGAAAGGGTGGGCTCTGGCTCTCCCAGCAGGAGAGAAGAGATATGGGCCGAGTTCTGTGTGAGGACCAGGTTCCCAGCCCGTGGCTTTGTATGCTGTCTGAGGTCACCCTACAAGGATAGCAGCACCTCCTGGCACCCCTCCTGCTCTCCCGTATCCCTCATCTATGCTGTGTGTCCCTCAGCGCTCTTTGCAGAGCACCTAAGACCACAGTTCTCCCAAGGTCTCTAAAGGTGTCAGAGACCAATGGCTTTGGGCCCCTGGTCCCATGTTTCTGCCCAAAGCAGTTGTCTAGGGCCAGGCTATCTATTGTATGGGAGTGTGTGTGTGTGTGTGTGTGTGTGTGTGTGTGTGTGTGTTTTCTCCAAGGGGTCCCTGCTAAGTTGGCTTCCTGGGTGTGCTCCTGCCTGGCTAGTGCTGCTGGGTCTGTGCCAGTGCATTGTGTGTGATCCTGTCTCTCATTTAACCAGGCCTGAGCTGCTTGCTAGAGGCCAGAGGGAGCCAGCCAGGCTCGTGGCTGGGAGCAGAGGGCAGTGGGAGAAGTTACATGGCCAGCTCCCCCTTGAATCCTATTCCTCAGGAGAACAGTCCTGAGAGAGGCTCTGCATGCCGGAAGAAGGTTCCTACGTCTGCTCAGCGTGGGAAATGGTGCCTTCTAGAATACTTCGCAACACATAACCTGTAGAATCTGAGAGGTCGATGGAACAAAGCATGTGGCTTTGTTTCCAAAAATGATCTTTCTTTTTTTAAAAAAAAAATTATCTATTTGATTTATTTGAGAGACAGAGAGCCCTCATCTACTAGTTCATGCCCCCGCAGCCAATGCTGGACCAGGTCAAAACCAGGAGCCAGAAACTGCATCTGGGCCTGCCACCCAGATGGGCGACATGGGTCTACACACTTAAGCCAACATCTGCTGCTTTCCAGGGTCCACGTGAGTAGAAATTCAGAATCTGGATGGAAGGCAGATTTGAACCCAGGTACTTGGCTATGGGATGCTCTGGTCCCAAGTGGTGAATATATGCTCCCCAAATGATTTTTCTTTCTACAAAAGAGGACTCTCCCCCTCGTACTCCCACTGCCATAGCTTCCTGTTGTTCACATCTCTTAGACAATATGGGTGTCAGCCTATTCCATTGCCTCCCTGTTCTTTTCACACATTGGCTCAAGGGGCAGATCAGTAAGGAGGGAGTGGGGTGAGGGGGAGTAGAGGCATGTGGTGGGAACTAGGGAGAGTGGGGTGTAGAGGTGATGCCAGTTGGTGTCCAAGGGCAGGGAGCAGTGGTTGGGCGGGCTGGGGTGGTGAGAGAGCGAAGGCAATAAAACCAGTGAGATGGGCTGAGATGCCACACAGGTGAATCAAGAGAGAGTGAGGCACATGGGGGTATCTGGGCCAGCTAGTGAGGAGCACGAGGTCACAGAGGTGGTGAGCGTGGGACCCTGGGGAATGAGGAGGACGAGTGTCCCTGTGCTTATGGCTTGCAAATGTCAACTGAGGCCCAAGACCCCCAAACACCCCCTCACCCAGGAGGCCGTATTTGACGACTCTGGATATGCCCTCACACTTACCGCCTCCTCAGCCTGCCTCTTGTAAGACTTGACCTTGGCCTGCAGCTTGTCCACCAGGTCCTGGAGTCTGAGGACATTCTTACGATCCTCCTCAGCCTGCAAAGACGGCATCTGTGGTAGACACCCACCCATCCTGGCTCTCTTTACCCATGGGACATGGGCTGCAATCCGTTGGCGAGCCTTCTACCTGGTAAGTCATCTCCTTGACTTTGCGTTCGTACTTGTGGGCCCCCTTCAGAGCCTCGGCTCCCCTCTTCTGCTCTGCATCCAGCTCTGTTTCCAGCTCCCGCACCTGCTTGAGGGCGGGCGGGGGAGCAAGAGAGCATAAGTCAGGGCAGATCCTTGGGGGCTTCTCCCATGGACTCAGGGGGTGAGCATTTTAGAGAGAACTAAAGATCGCTTTACTTTAAATTATACTTGGCCAACATGTCTCCTCTTGGGGCTTAGAAGCCACAGTTTATTCACAGGGTCATCACTACAACGAAGCACCTTGTTTGGGCAGAAGCAGTGTCAGGTGCAGAGTCTGACTTGTAGAAGCGGCCCCTTCCTGCAGCCATGCAGTTGACTGACCAGTTGCACTGCAGTACCACTTTGTCCCTGCAGCTAAGCCTGTACCACTTGCTCTTAGTGGCCCCGGTTCCTGATCAAGTTGGGCGGTAGGAGGTATGGAGAAGACCTGGACCAGGAGTGGCCAGATAGACCAGGCCCCGTGGACGAATGGGAAGTCAAGTGAGTTATCATTACCAAGCACAGGTTTCTATATGACGGCACATCAGACAGTTCATGCAGTGAGTTTATGTGAGTTTCCCACCCCCCAAATAAACTCATGCATCCATGCGTAGCTTTTAATAAGATGCATTTTCATGAATTGTTGATGTCCTTGTGTATGTTGAGGAGAAGGTTAGTGCCTGCTCAAATTCCTGAAAACCTGGAACTAAATTAGGCCAAGACCCTGGGAGTCCCTTGAGAAGGAGAAAATGTCAAATGGGTGCTGTTCATTTCAGTGGTGGGCCTGCCTTTCCCAAAGTCTAAAGTCCCTTGAGTGTGCTGGTCACCAACTGTGGTCAATGTAGACACCTATATGGACACGGGAGGTGGGGTGTTATATAGGAACCAATCACATGTCCCTCTACCTCAAGCCCACCAAAATCCCAGTGGCCACAGGGGAGTGACTCTGGGCTTGGAGACTCCACAGACGACCCCTGAGAGCTCCTGGGAGGCAAATTTTAATGCACATGTCATTCATCATAAAACTTCCATCCTCTGCCTCGCAGGTCCAGGAAACTCCATCAGAGTCTGTGTTTGCTTTCCTTGGAATGCTGTGAAAGGTGAGTGGAACTCAGGAAACCGGGAGGAATGGAATGGAAGGGGTCCTGCCTGGGGGAGGGGTGATGGAAGCCTCCCTGCCTGCCCAGAGTGCCAAGTTTCACAGAAGGTGGCTTGGGCCCTAGTCCCACACTAGGGGTCGGGAGGGTCTGTGTGCAGGACAGATGGAAGCTCACTTAGATGGTCCAGAACTGGGAATAAGTGAACATGAGCATTTTACAGAATTTGGGGAGGAAGCTCTAATTTCCTTGGTGGTTACTGCAATTGTTGATATGACTTTGGCCTTGTTTTTTTTTCCCACCCAAAACCAACCAATCCCTTTCACAGTTAAAGCAAAGGTGGGCTTGGTATTGCCACCCCAGGGAGTCAGGTGCAAAAAATGATGATATTTGTGAGCTGACCTGCTAGGGAGAGTTATTTCCTTCTCTTCCTGCTTTTCCTCATCTGGTTTCCCTCCTGCTCTCTCATTTCCTCTCTTCCCAGGACAACAGAGCTGTTCTAGCAACAACCTCTGCAAAGCCCTTCTCCAAGTACCAGCTGATGCTGCAGCCCACTTTGATCATGATGGAACCATCATAGCTCTTAAAGGGAAAAAGCACTGGGGTACAGGAAGCCAAGAGGAAACTGAACCAAAGGGACAAGTCCGCTCTCGGTTCAAGAAAACGTGAGACTTCAGCATGTGGGAGAGATGAAACATCTCAGGAGGAAAGTGGCCCAGCCTTCCTTGGGGAAGGAGTGAGAAATACGCCAAGAACTGCAGACTGAAAGGCTGGGAAGGGAACAGGACTTGAGAGGAGAGACACAGAGAGGTGACAGAGTCTAAGTAGGCTGGGACATTGCTTATCAAACTATGATAGCCAAAAATCTGATTTAAACACAAAGAGCGAATTTTATGGTCGCACAATCTTTTTTTTTTTCTATGTAGGTGCAAAGACATGAATCTACATAGAAGACAGAATGTGAACTTGGAAGGAGACCTGCAGTCCACTCCACCAGCTCAGCTCCTGGCCCTGAATGGGATGGCACTTCCCAGCAGGAGGCCTCTCCCACCACATACCCTGTTCTCCAGCTTCTGGATCTGCTTCTTGCCACCCTTGAGCGCCAGCTGCTCGGCCTCGTCCAGGCGGTGCTGCAGGTCCTTCACTGTCTGCTCCAGGTTCTTCTTCATGCGCTCCAGGTGGGCACTGGTGTCCTGCTCCTTCTTCAGCTCCTCCGCCATCATGGCCGCCTGTGCAGCAGTTCACAGAAGCGCCCTTGTCACTGGGGGGCCCACCCATCCCCACGTGGAGCTGAGGGGTGATGTTGTTAAGGCATGGGGGATGAGGGGATAATAGCCTCTGTGTGACGAACTCCCTCCCATCAGAGCCATAAACATGCGAGGCCCACATGCAACACGCTGGATCTGAAGCCCCCAGGCCTTCTGCAAGCAGCGCCTCCAAGGAGCAAGCTGTGAGCTCACGTCGGTGATGGCTTTCTTGGCCTTCTCCTCTGCGTTCCTGGACTCCTGCAGGGAATTCTCCACCTCTGCCTGGCACTGAGCCAGGTCAGCTTCCAGCTTCTTCTTGGTGTTCAGCAGGCTGGTGTTCTACAAGCACAGAGAGGCATCAGGGATTGGAGGGGAAGAGGATGGTGTACCGGGGCACCACACAGGATGGGGAGGGAAGGCTCTGGGAGCAGCCGGAAGTGGATCACGATCATGCTTTGGTTCTTATTGTGCACATGGATGGCCTGTTAGGTGCAGAGCCCTCTTTGACCAAACAGGAAGTCCTGAATCAGACTCAAGAACTGCACACTGAAGGATCCAGGCAAGGATAACAGTCCAATTTCAAATATTTGAGGATGGAAAGATTATTCAATAAAGAACATGCCTGATAGAAATGCCAATGTAAAACAACAACAACAAAAAAATAATTCCACTAGTCAAACTAGATCATGCGTTGGAAGCATGATGACACACTAGAAATGTCTGTAATGTATATTACAGAGAAAAACAGTTGCTTTCTTAACATACAGGGTATTTCAAAGGTTCATGGAAAGATGGAATTAGATGTTTATTGTGGTGCAGAGTTTTGAAAGCCATGGAGTGTTTTTCAGAATCCACATTTTTTTTCAGCAAACTCTTTGAAGATTCCTTGTCTACATGGATTTCAAAAGTTTTTTGCACCCAACTACACTTATCTTCATTGTATCATCCACAAACATTTCAGGTGCCCCTTGGAGAAATAGTACACATTAATAAGAAAAAGGGGCTGAAATAATTGGTAAAAAAAAAAAAACTCAACAGAAAAAAACAACACAAATGGCCAACAAAAATGATTACATGTTCTAACTCATTAGTTATTAAAAAAAAATTAAAAGCCCTAATGCTGTGTAATCAAAGAATAAAACTGGTTAAGATTTCAAAAATATTACCTGAGCCTTTTGAGAATTTGTAGAAAAGAGCTGTCACATGTTTTCCCCAAGGGAATGAAAATTTAGAATATCTTGTTAAAGAAAATGTACAATATGTTTTAAATGCATTTACTGTTTTGACACTGAGACTTTATAGTTAGGAAATTATTTACTTGTAGAACTCTAAAGATAATAGTAATAATCATAGATTGTTAGGAAAGTTATGAGAGTTTATCACAATAGACTTAATAAAAGTAATTTATATATATATATATTTCTCAGGGACCTAGCACAATAACCTAGTGGCTAAAGTCCTTAGCCAGGATCCCGTATGGGCACCAGGTTTGTATCCCAGCTGTGCTACTTCCCATCCATTTCCCTGTTTATAGTTTGGGAAAGCAGTTAGGTCAGCCCAAGGCCTTGGGGCCCTGCACCCCTGTGGGAGACCCCAAGAAAGCTCTTGGCTCCTGGCTTCGAATTAGCTCGGCTATGGCTGTTGTGGCCCCTTGGGGAGTAAACCAATGGATGGAAGATCTTTCTGTCTCTACTACCCTCTGTGACTCTGCCTTACCAATAAAAATAAAATAAAACCTTAAAAAAAACAGCAATTTAAAAAAAAAACTGGGAACAGTCTAAAGTAGCCAGATATGGCAGAATAAGTAAAATACCTTGATACCCAATTATAACAGCCATATCTAGTTCGTATCCTAGGTCCAAGAGGTGATCTGTATTAACCATACCCTGGGAGACTGTTCAAGGAGGTGGGGACCTGAGTATGTTCAGGAACATTAGCCAATGAAAATGCCAAACACTGGTCACATTTTTACAGAAACACAATAATATTCTTGTAATTCACAATGAGACCCCAAAATGTCAATGATACTGTTGATTTTTTTTCCCTCTTGAGTGTTTTGTTTGTTTCCTGTTTTTGAAAGCAAGAGACTTTAAAAAGTTTTCTATTAAAATAATAAAAAAAATTTTTAAAGAAAACCTTCACATTGTAAGATTTCAGTTTAAATGGTACAGGATGACAACTCCTAATTCAGACATCCCAAATCTGGCACCATGTGGCTGACCATGCTCAAGTGGGAAGATCCCGCTCCTGGCCTCCTGGCAGGGCCTCTAGTGAAGGCGCGCAGAGGCACTAAAAATACTGACTAGAACCAGGCTACCTGGGTAAGGTGCCTTGTGTTTCAGTCCCTTGCCAAGACACTTCATTGCCTAAATGCAAATATTCCAAAATCTGAAAATATCTGAAATCTGTTACACTTCTGGTCGCTGGCATTTCAGCATAGGAGAGCCAAGCCCAGGTGCTTCATGCAACAACCCTTCCTTGCTTTGACTCCTGGTTCTGTCTTTATCTTTGGGTAAAAGAAAGCTCGGACATCTGTGAATCAAGAGCTGGTTAGTCCAAAGACCCAGCTTAAAGAAGCCTGGTTCTGACCACGATTCTGGGGGCAGCTGGGTGTTTCCCTCCATTGCAGGGGCCCGGAGCCCAGTGGGACAAACGCACCTGAGAATGCAGCAGCTGCACTCGGTCGCTGGCGTCCAGCAGCTCCTGCTCCGACAGCCGGCGGGTCCGCTCGGTCTGCTCCAGGGCCACCTTCATCTCCTCTAGCTCTTCCTGCAGGAGGCCGTTCCTGCGCTCCACGATGGCCAGCTGCTCCTTAAGATCCTCGTTGCTCCTCAGGGCATCGTCCAGGTGTAGCTGGGCGTCCTGGGGAGACCTGGAGTGAGGCCAGAGCCGCGGGACAGAATCCAGGCTCTGCTGCAGGTCCACCGGAAGTGGGCAGCACACTCGCTCACCTTAAGCTGGCCCTGGACCGTACGCAGGTGTTTCTGTGTCTCCGCCACCTGGCGGTTGGAATGGCCCAGCTGGATCTCCATCTCGTTGAGATCTCCCTCCATCTTCTTCTTGAGCCGCAGGGCATCATTGCGGCTCCGGATTTCGGCGTCCAGCACGCTCTGCATGGCCTCAGCAGTCCGCTGGCTGTTGCGTTTCAGCTGCTCCATCTCTTCATCCTTTTCTGTGACTTTGCGGTCCAGCTCGGACTTGACCTGATTCAGCTCTAATTGGACGCGGAGGATCTTGCTCTCCTCGTGTTCCAGGGAACCCTGATGAAAGAAGAGGAGGGAGATGGCCCCGGAGTGATGGCCTAATAGTTAAATCCTCACTTTGCAAGCACTGAATCCCATTTGGATGATGACTTGAGTTCCAGCTGTTCCACTTCTTCTCAGCTCCTTGCTTGTGGCCCGGGAAAGCAGTCAAGGATGGCCCAAAGCCTGGGGACCCTGCAACCCTGTGGGAGACCCAGAGGAAGTGCCTGGCCCCCGGCTTCAGATCAGCTCAGCATCGGGCTCCAGCCACTGCAGCCACTTGGAGAATGAACCAGAGCACAGAGCTCTTTCTCTCTGCCTCGCCTACTCTCCGTAAATCTGCCTTTCCAATAAAAATAAATCTTAAAGAAAAGGGGAGATGGAGAAGGCCATGGGCATTTTCATATCTGTTATGATTAAACAGGCTTTACTTACACCTTTAACAAGTGATGAGAACAAGCCACAGAGATGCCTGGGATGCAGCTGGGACTAAAATGTTGTGTTATTAATAAATATTCTTGGGTCTTGGGAGAGACAGAGTGTCTTTATTGAGGGTGTCTATTGTCATTGGCAGTGACCCCAGCACTCCTGGTCTAAGACAGCAAGGCAGTTGATCTGTTAGCCTGCGTTAGTTCAGACGGCCCTATCACCCAACAATCTGAACCAACTGTCTGTCCCGCACTCACTGCATCTGTTTATGACATCAGGAGACCCTGGGTCTCAATTTTATGAGGCTGCTTCAAAAGTTGGTGCAATGTGGAACTCCAAAATACATTTCTCCGGGTGCAGAGGAAAGTGCGAATGCCATGCTGACTCCTGCAGGAGTCCTGATGGCCAAAGACAACTGCGTCCGCCTCCCCCAGAGTATGGGAGGAGTCCTGAGCTGGCTGGCAGGATCATAGCGGGTGGAGATTTTTGCTTCCCAGGGGAAAGCACCGAGGACATCATGAACACATTTGCTTGTTTGCAAAGGAGAACAGTGTGCTAGAGGAGAGCAAAGAAGTGAGAGAGAAGCGAGGTGGTGTCTGTCGACTCCCAAGGCTGCCCGGCTATCCCTCCCATGGGAGGCTCTGGGGGTGGTCCAAGGTCGCCCCTTTCAGTTTCCAGGACATCACATCCCTGTACTTGCCTCCACCTCTTCTAAGGCAGCCTGGAGGTCCGACTTCTCCTGCTCCACCTGCTTCTTGGTCTTTTCCACTTCCTGCAGGTTCTTGCCAGTTTCTGCAATCTGCTCCGTTAAGTCAGAAATCTCTTCTGCAAAAGGACAGGCTCGACTTAGGCTGTTTTCGCAGGCTTCTGCTCACAGCTTAGGCATTTGTGTGGCACTTCATGGGGCTGGCAAATCACCTGTGACCGTTTATTCAGGAGCGAATACAGAGAAGCCATTCCCAGGAGGGGTGTGTGGGGGAGACCTGGAAGTGCTGAGTGACAAGCAAGGAAGACTATTGTGGCTGACATTTTTGGGGAAATGGGCATTTAGCCCAGGGGTTAATGCCTGCACAAGCCACATCAGAGTGCTGCTGTTAGATTCCCAGTTCTGTGATGGCACAAGAAATTGGGTTCCTGTCACTTATGTGAGTGACCCGGATGGAGTTCCTGGGCCCCAGCCCTGGCCTTGCCCAGCCCTGGCCCCTGCAGGCATTTGGGGGAGTGGATAAGTGGATGAGAACTGTCTGTCTGTTTCTCTCACCTTGCTTCTCAAAAACACTTTTTTTTTGAAAGAAAGATTTATTTATTTTTATTGGAAAGGCGGATGTACAGAGAGGAGCAGACACAGAGAGGAAGATCTTCCGTCCGATGGTTCACTCCCCAAGCAATTGCAACGGCTGCAGCTAAGCCATTCTGAAGGAGCCAGGAGCTTCTTACGGGTCTCCCACATGGGTGCAGGGTCCCAAGGCTTTGGGCTGCCCTCGACTGCTTTCCCTGGCCACAAGCAAGGAGCTGGATGGGAAGCGGGGCTGCCGTGATTAGAACTGGTGCCCATATGCGATCTCGGGCATGTTCAAGGCAAGGACTTTAACCACCACACTATTGCGCTGGGGCCTCAAAAACACTTTTTTTTTTTTTTTTAAGAGTTTTTGTGTCTTGGTTTAACTGAGTCAATTTGAGGGGTGGAATGTGGACAAGGATTTCTTTGGAGCAATGGAAAAGGCATTTGAGGGCTGGAATTGTGGTATCATTGATTAAACTTCTGCCTGTGATGCTGGAAACCCTGTAGGAGCTCATTCAAATCCTGGATCCTTCACTTCTGATCCAGCCCCTGCTAAGGCATCTGGGAAAGCAGCAGAAGATGGCCTAAGTGCTTGGGCCCCTACACTCACGTGGAAGACCTGGAGGAAGCTCTCGGGTCCTGGCTTCACCTTGGCTCAGCCTTAGCTGTTGGTAACATTTGGGCAGTTAACCAGTGGAAAGATCTTTAGATGTCTCGCCACTCTTTCTCTGTAACACTGCCTTCCAAATAAATAAATCCTCAAACAATATATTTTTTAAAGTCTTTAAAGTTGGCCATGGTTACATGGGGACGGGGCTGGCAGGAGGAGTTGGGGACGGGCACACCTGTGGCATGGAGCTAGCTCACCCTGTAGATTTTTGTTCTCTCGCCGCACCGTCTCCAGCTGGTCCACCACCTCTTCATAGGCGTTCCGCATCTTGAAGATCTCCGTGCTCAGGGCCCTGGACTCCTTCTGAGCGGCTTCCAGCTCAGCCTGACTTTCATCCAGCTTTTGCTTCCACTCAGCAAGGACCTAGATGATGGGAGAAGGGTGTGTGAGAAGCAGAACAGGGCTTTCAGTGGAGCCTGGGGTAGGGGAGTCCCCTTAAGATGTCAAAATTCCCCCTGTCATCCTATGGGTCTGAAGCAAGAAGCTGGGCCCTGTTCCGGATCGGGGGGTCTCCAAACTCTGATATCCCTGCAGGGGGCTCTGCTGGACTTTTAATTCATTTATTTAAAAGACAGATAATAAAAGAGAAAGAGATAGAGAGGAGAGCTCTGGTTCACACCCCTAAACAGCCTCAACAGCCAGATCTTCCAGGCCAAAGCCAGGGGCCAGGAGAAGTCCCATGTGCGTAGAAGAGACCCCAACACTTTGGCCATCCTCTGATACCTTTCCAGATGCATTAGCAGGGAGCTGGATCATAAGCAGAGCAACTGGATCTCAAAACGGCACTCAGATAGGGCATGCCAGTGTTGCAAACCAAGGGTTAACACGTTGCTTCATGTCCCTGACCCTCTTGGCTGGATTCTTAGAGATACAGGTGGAATATCCCTTATCTGAAATGCTTGGGAACAAAAGTGTTTGGGCTTTCATATTAAAAAAAATTATATATATATATATCTCTTCATGCATATAATGAATATCCTGGGGATGGGTTTCAAGTCCAGATGGATAATTCATTTATGTCTCCTGTGTACGTTATTCATGGAGCCTGAAGATAATATAACAGTATATTGAATGCACCTTGCTTTTCACTGCAGCTCATCACATGAGCTCAAGCATAGAATTCTCTACTTCTGTTGATGTGTCGGTGTTTAAAGAGTTTTGGATTTTGGAGAGCTTTGGCTTCAGATGTTCAGATTAGAGGATGTCCCACCTGTACTGCAGTCTCAGTGTAATCTGTATGAACTTCAACTACAAATAGAATTATGTTCAGAGATTGTAAAAAAAAAAAAAAAAAAAAAAAGCAAAACAATAAAGAGCTTTGGGGAAGGCTCCTGAACTGGAAACGGATTCCGGAACTGGGGCCTCCACACTTTGAGCCCTGCCACTGCTAAGCAGGTAGGGAAGTACCTTGTCGAAGTTCCTCTGCTTCTTGTCCAGGGTGGCGCAGGCCGTGTTGGCCCTCTCCAGGTCCCGCATCAGGTCCTCCACCTCTCCCTGGAGCCTCTGCTTGGTCTTCTCCAAGGAAGCACACTTGGAGTTCGCCGTCTCTGTGTTTTCCTCGGCTTCTTGGAGCCTCTGGGCCAGTTTTTTCCTGTGAGAACCATATTTTCCTTTTCTTGGCAAAGTTGGGATAGTTGAGAAGGCAAGCGAAGAGATTGTAAGAGAAGTGAACTGACTAGAAGGGACTGGCTTTTGGTAAGACCTAAACCTAGAAGGTGACGAGGGGAGAGGACCCAAGTGTCTCTCTTGGAGAAACCCATCATGCTGGGTGGCAGAGCAGGTCCTCACGGAGGCAACTTGGGGGCTGGGGGCAGGGCAGGCAGACCCTGAGAGGACAGGGAACAATCTCGGAATGCTGAAGAAGCCACAAAGGTCACGGGAGGGAAGGAAGAGTTAGGATTGGAAGGTGTCTCTGCCACCTGCCCCACTGTAGCCTTGGAAGCGCATACTTGGCCTCCTCCAGCTCCTCCGTGCGCTGGATGGCGTCCGTCTCGTACTTGGTCCTCCATTGGGCAACCTCGCTGTTGGCCTTGGACATTGCCCTCTGCAGCTCAGCCTTGGCTTCCTGCTCCTCCTCATACTGCTCCCGCAACAGGTCGCAGTCGTGGCGGGAGGACTGCAGGGCGTGGGCCAGGGCGTTCTTGGCCTGTGGATGACAGTGATGACAAATTTGCAAGGACACCTGGCCCTTTTGCAAGTGAGGCTTTCTCTCAACCTGAATCCTTCCCATGTCTCCTTCACCAGTCATAGCAGTTTCCAACTGGCTTCTTCATTGTGATTTAAATATGTGCATTGTAAAAACCGGTTACACGATAGTAACTGGACAATCACTAATGTTTGCTGTACCAGAGGGTAGCCACAAGAATAGATAAGATGGGAGAAAGAAAAGCAACATCGTCAAAATCTAAGTAAGAGCTGCTGCCTGCTGTGGCTCCATGCCTGGGGCCTACTTTATATTCCTTAATCAGGTAAATAAACAAACACTGGAGAGCTATTATCCAAATTGAGGCCTTTCCCTTGATGTAATCAGAAGGACTGAGACAGAATTAGAAAGGCAATAATTTTCTTGCTATTTGATGCCATGTTATGGGATGCCACGATTGTGAACAACCCAAAAGCATGTTTTGGTGTTCGCCAGCTGTGGCTCACCCTGGGGACTGCCGGTGCAGGTGTGTTGCAGCTGTGGCTCCACCTCTTCCCAAGCAGGGGAGTGAGGAACACATCTGGAGACCTCCACCATACACTCATGCCCCATCCGCAGAGGGGAACAGTCCAGCCACAACTATAGAGGTTCTATATAGTTCTATCGCTTTAAAAAGGCAAAAGAGAACTCTGCCCAAGAAGGAAAACCTAGACGCTGCTGTATTCTGGCCAAAAGACAGCCCGGCTTCCATAGTGGGACCTTCGCATTGCTCATTCAGAAGGGAAATATGGAGCTTGGGGAAATCCCACAGAGTAGCTCTGTCAATCTCAAGTTCTGTGCAGCTGCCTCCATATTCAGCGCATGCAGCTTTGAGAACTCCCGGATTCATACTCTGGAGCTTGAATGCAGCATTCTGGGTACTATCAGAGTAGGGCAAAGTTATTGTTGCCCAGCAGGAGTTTTCAGAGTAACGGGGAGTTGTAAGCACAGACAGCCGCAAGGTACTGATGTCAAGAACCTGACGATGACTGTGTGTGCGGGTGTACCCAGGGTGCCCTCAGGTCACGTAGTGTTTTTGGGGAAAGAGAGCGCTAATGTGAACGTAAGAGGAGGTGACACACAAACGGTCATGGAGTGGACACAGGAGGACCATTGGAGTGGCCTGGCTGAACTGCTGCGGAGGTAGTCCAGCGAGTGCAGTGAGAGGAAACAGGTGTCTCTGACTGGTGATGAAAGCTTGCTGGGCCACATTGTGTATGTATGGGACATCCTGGTAGAATTTTCTAGACCACAGGAAGGAGTTCCAATGCCAAGACCTTCTAACCTTTCAGAGCAAGTTCCTGCCTTGCTCCAAGGTAGCAAGGAGAAGCAAATGTCTTTATGGTGATGACACTAGGTTTCTGAGAAGGCTCAGAGGTGAGGCGGGCACAGTATCTGGCTCCTTGGGTTCTCGCTCTGCTGTTCCTGTAAGCAGCATCCTTACCTTTGTTTCTTCTTCCAGTTGCCTCTTAACCTCCTCCAGTTGCTGGCTGAGAGCCTGTTTGCTTTTGGTTAACTGTGAAATCAGAGACTCCTTCTCTTCCACCTGATGGCTCAGCTCCCCTGCCAAACAGAGGCCCATGAGCATCGCCGGCCATACTCCCCTCCAGGCCGCCAGTCCCTGGAGCCTCGCTGTGCTCACCGTTCTGAGTCTGCAGTCTTGCCTTCTGCATGTTCAGGTCATGGATTAACTGTGTCTGCTGGTCGTCCTTGGCTTTGATTTCATTGAATTGGTCTTCTACAGAGCGGCACAGTCTTTCTACATTACTCTTAAAAAAAAAAAAAAGGCCACATGAATCGAACAGCTTGATAGCTTGATATTTCAGCTTCTTGCTGGATAAAACAAAAAAATATGAATACCAAGCACATGAAGATTGATTTCCAAAGCATGCTGTCAGTTATGAAATGATATGCCTTATTTTTATTTGTGATTACTGCTTAATCTCTAACAGCTTGTAGTGGCAGCTTTTGTTAGCCAGGTTGTTGAGAGGCAAGGAGAGAAAGACAGAGAGACAGAGATAAGAGAGACAGATGGACAGATCTTATCTGCTAGTTCCCTCCCAAATGCCCACAGCGTTCAGGACTAGGCTGGGCCAGAGCTGGGATCCAGGCACTCAGCCCGGCTTTCCCACATGTATGGCAGGAGGCTGGAGTCAGCAGGACAGAGCTTAAATCCAACTGGGGAACTGCGATGTGCTTTTGCAAGCGCCTTAACCTTTAAGCTAAATGTCCCATGCCCTCTTACGCCCAGTGGACAAGAAGTTTCTGTAAGAAATTCGGGAAGGATGGTGCAACTTCGCATGGTGGCAGCTTGAGCATTTTTGTGCTCCCAACTTTACAAACTCCATTTCCAGGGCTGTGGTGCTAGGAGGCAGAGCCTTTTTGGGGGAGTGATTAGCTCATGGAGGGGCAGTGTTCACAACTGGCAGAGCTGACCTATAAAAGAGGGCAGAGGGACTTGTCCCCCTCCCCTGCCGTGTGAGGACACAGCAGCATAGGCTCCTCCTGCGAAGCAGAGAGCGAGCCCTCCCCAGACCTGGAATCTGCAGGTGTCTCGGTCTTGACTACGAGCAACAACTTTCTGTTGCTTACAGATTCCCCCAGTTTAAGGTAATTTGTTATGTTGGGGTCTGTGTGCATTTGAGGAGTCGGGGGAAGGCAGCAGTGGAGAAGAGGGCTTCGGGTCAGAACAGAGAGTGAGTTTGGAGGCAACCCCGGGGCGGGGGTCGTGGCTGCTATAAGGCCCAGCCGGGGCAGGTGAAGGGCAGCCCAGGAAGAGGCTGAGAAAGGTGGCTGACAAGGCCTGCAGAATGCAGCTCCCTCCTCAGCCTCGCACTGCAACAGTGATGTATGGGGTTCACCAAGGTCAAAAGGGATCTATAACACTCTATAGCACCATATAAGGCACATTCCTTTGTCCCCCAAACCGCACTTCTATAGCCCTTTAATAAAAATGGTCCCTCACGTCCCCTGGGTGCGACTTCCCTGGTTGGCTGTCTTTACCGGACCAGTGAACCTCCCCCGGGGTCACTCAGAATAGTGTGTTTTAGGCTGACCTTTATTCTGTGTGGGTTTCTGGGTCTGAACATGAACTTGAGCCTCACAGAGAGCAGAAGGGCCCCTCTGGTACCTTTGACTTGGAGACCGACTCGATGTTGCTGGCCATGTCGTCGATCTCCATCTTGAGCTCGCTTTTCTCTTTCTCCAGCTTCTGCTTGACCCGCTGCAGGTTGTCAATCTGCTCCCCAAGCTCAGCCACGCTGTCTGCGTGCTTCTTCCTCAGGGTGGCTGCCGTGGCTTCGTGCTGCAGGGTGGCCTCCTCCAGGTCCCTGCGCAGCTTCTGGAACTCAGCCTCCCTCTTCTTGTTCATCTCGATCTGGGCGGACGTGGCCCCGCTGGCTTCCTCCAGCCGCTCGCTGATCTCCTCCAGTTCCCGGGAGAGGTCAGAGCGCTGCTTCTCGATCTTGGCTCTGAGAGTGTGTTCCGCTTCGATTTCTTCCTCCAGCTCCTCCGTGCGGGCCTGAAGGGGTCATGGTGTCAGGACTGGGGCTCGGGGTGGAGGCGAGCCGACTGCGTGGGGAGAGGCTGGGTGGTAGGGAACTGTGAGCAGGCAGCGCAGAGTGAGGTGTGTGTTCTAACATCGGGTTAGCAAAACCTGGAAGCAAGCTAGCTGTCCGTGAACTGGGGAGGGACTATGTTAGCTGTGCAGCAGGGCTTGAAGCAGCTGGGCTCAGAACTACATCTGCCATGGCTACCGCTGTAGGACATGCTGCTCCAGCAAAGGAGTGAGCTGCAGAATGACATTCTGAGTGAGGAAATTCATGGCAAAGATAAAAACAAGAATGATTATTTTCTTGCAATGTTACGAGGGTGCTTCAAAATGTTTGTGGAAAATGGGAATCAGAAGACAAGTTTCAGGGCAGGTGTTTGGGACAGTGGTTAAGATGCTGTTTGGGGTGCCTGCGTTGCAAACTGGGGGTGCCTGGGTTCGAGTTCTGGCTCTTTCTGATCCCAGCTTCCCACTAGTGAGTGCCACGAGGGACACTGGTGTCAGTTCAACCATTTGTCATCCATGTGGGAGACCTGGCTTGCATCCTGGGCTCCTGGCTTCTGCCTGGCCCAGAACCAGCTGTTGTGGGTACTCAGGGAGTGACCCAATGAAATGGCAGATCTCTGTATCTTTTGGCCTGCCTTATCTCCAAATAAAGGATAAGTTTATTCAGGCCCAAACGTTTTGAAATTCATGCAGTAGTTTACTCTGTAATGCACCCTTTGAAGACCCCGCATGTGCATGGATCCAGAATATTTTTTTGTACCAAAAGAGACTTATCTTTTAATTCCATGTTCCATGACTGTCTCAAATGAGCCTCATATTTCTTTGTGCTCCCTTTGATCTTGATTGTGAATAGAAACGCACAGCAGAAGACCCAGAGGGCTATTTCTGGGAACACAGGGCTTAGGGGCGGTGGATCAAAACACCTTTATCCACGGTGTTTACCCTTCTGGTCACATTTTAGCAGAGACACTTACGTGTTACTTAGAAAAATGAAAACTTCCTTTTCAGGGAGTGAAGTTGAGGAAGAAGCATGGGAATCCTCACCCTGGAGTCCTAACTCTCAGGCCCTGCCTGCATTTCTACCACAAAGTAAGTGCCCAATGAAGGCTGGCAGGAAAACGCTTTGTGAACATGTTAGAATATTGTTATCAAGAGGTGTTTGGAGGGGAAGCCACGGCCCAAGAAGCGAAGAGTAAGGAGCAGCGGGAGTTCCGGGAGTGCGAAGGCCTTGCCCTTCACCTGCAGCTCCTTGATCTTCTTCTGCAACTGCAAACTGTGAACCTGTTCGTCGTCAATTTTGGCCTGGAGCTGGCTGATTTCAAACTCCTTCCTGCAAACAGAGCGGTGTTGAGGAGGATGTGAGCGGCAGAGACTGGTTAGCTCGCGGGCTCAGGCGCAGACACGGGCAGGGCACAGTTACTTCTTCAGCTTCTCGTCCATCTGCTGCTTGTCGTTTTCCAGATCCATCACGGACTCCTGCGACAGTTTCAGGTCCCCCTCCAGCTTCCTCTTCACTCTCTCCAGGTCTGCCCGCAGTTTCTTCTCTTGCTCTAAGGAGCCCTCGAGCTGGGGAGGCATGGGGAGAAAGGCTGCTGCACACGTGGGCTGGGGTGCCGGCTGTGGCCCTCTGGCCTAGAGGAGACAAGTCTCCCCCTCCGTCCTGCCTTCTCTTTCCTTCCCAAAGAAGGCTATTCCAGGAGACTGGGTCAGTCCATCCCTGGACCTCCTGGTGACTCTGCCGGTGGATTCCCGCTTGGCCTGCTCCTGGGTACCTTATACTAGCTGTAAGAGTACACTCCCTACAGGGAATGCATGCTCTTGCCATAGAGGAACAAGTAGGGGCTGCCACAGAGGGCACCAGGAAGGCCTAGGTTGCATTCCTTCCCTCCTCTAGACCTTGCACTATGCAATCAGAGACTGAAATAATAAATGTGGTGTGTGTGTGTGTGTGTGTACATGCACCTGCACGTGGGCTCAAGGAAAGAGGTGTGTAGAGGAACAGTGCAGCATGTGTGCGCACACACACACACACACACACACACACACACACACACACACACACACACACCGACTCCAGGAAAAGGAAGAAACAACCGGGAAAGTTTCAGCCTTAACAGTAAAAGCTGAAAAACTTTAAACCCAGCTCTGACATTAAGACCAATAGTGTGAAACGCCAGGGGGAAAAATTACTCTTTTATGGCCATGAAATACACGTTGTTGTTTTGCATTCAATTGGGACGAGACTGGGGACCCTGAACTGCCAAGGAATCAGGCTGAGAACGCTGGCGACAGCAGCAGCCCGTGCCTCCCTGAGTGTCCTGTGTGCGGAGCTTCCCGCACCAACCTCTGGCTTTCTCTGAATCCCCACGGGCCCAGTGCAGACAGGGAGGGTCTGCGGGGACTGAGCGACTCTCTCACAGCCCCACACGGGCTCAGCATTGTGGTGAGGCTGAGGGCTGCAGACTCTGGTGTCTACACCCCTCCAGCCCTGCTCTGCCGAACCCCACGAGCCTGGCACCGGGGACAGATGCTGAGGGGGCGGGAGGAAAGGGAAGGCCCTCACGTCATCCGTCTGCTGTTCCAGCTTGGCATTGGTTTTGATGAGACTGTTGACTTTGTCCTCTTCCACCTGCAGGTCGTCCAGCGTTTGCTGGTGGGCTTCCTGGAGAGATTTCTTTTCTTTGTTCAGCTTCGAGATGTTTTCTTCCAGAGCGGTCATCTCTTCTGAAAGATTCTTCACCTGGAAGAGTGTCAATACCTTCGATATGGAAATGACTGGTGCAGTGAAGCCACAGGCTCCCAACAACACCATTCTCCCGCAACCCCCATCTCTTTATTGCTTGCTTCTCATTTGCTCAAAATGGCATTTCTCTGTTCTCTTCCTCATTGGCCTCTCCCAGTGCCTTAACTTCTCCCATTAGGATCACTCCTTGGAGGAATGCTTAATCATTTGCAGAGAAGAGCACTGTCTAAATACAGACACGCTGTCTCTGACAGTGAATTGCTTATCAGTATGTACTCACTTGAGAGGCACACGTGGCCATCTCCTTTTTGGGCTGGCTGGTGGGGGGTTAGAACGAGACAGGGAGAGGAATGGTGGGGTGGTGGGGACAGGATGGACTCTGCAAGGACATCTAGCATGGGCGCTCTGTGTTGCCAAGGAGTAGAAGCCCCCACACACGCAGCTGTCAGGCATCAAGCAGAAACTTTCGCATGCAAGGCTTCAGATCAGAAGCCACTGATTCCTGACCCATGGGCTGAATCTGGCCCCACATGTCTTGACTTCAGTTCACATAACTTTTTATGATTTTGGGATCAATGCTGATGAAACCATGAGATTCCACATAAAATCCATACCTCTGGCTTCTCACGGGAAGCATGCAGAAGCTCTGGCAATGCTGGATTCACATTCCCAACCAACAGTGAGCAATGTGGGCTCAGTCTCACTGCCCCTTGCCCCGGGACAAGGTGGGAGCTGTCTGGCTTGCCACAGTCCCTACCCCTCCCTGTCATCCCTTTCCATGGCTTTTAGCTGTCCAATCTCTTATCCTACCCTGGGGAGAACCACTAGCATGTGGATCATGTCATGTTTGATGACACACTTTTCTTAAAAGTGTCTGTCATGGTGTTCATTGAGTGGGTGCAGTTTTCAACGATATGCATGCTGTCAGGCAGTGCTAGTGTTCAATGTCTGTCTTTGTTGCCTTGGGTATTTGCTCCCAATGGCTGACCCACTCTCTGTCTCCCTGCCCCAGTGGTGCACCCTGACACTGCCTCCTCTCTCCCTCAGTGAGAAGGTTTACCCACAAACATCCTTGAACATGTGCCCTTATGATCCAGGAGAATTCTTTAGTCTACACAACCAGGAGCAAGATCACTGGCTTACAGGATATATGGATAATTCTTGCTTTGACCAAGTGACTGTGTATGACTTTCCTGCTGGTTGCGGCTGTCCTATACCCTGCCGATCAGGCATGAGGACCCCTGGGTGCCCAGCTCCTGGTCAGCCCTTGCTGCTGTCCAGTCTGTCTCCCTTACCACATCTGCGTTCTGCCTGACTTTTTGGGTGTTTCCTTTCCTTGTCGCTGCACCAAGTGCCAAGAGACACAACAATGGAAGGCACAGCAAGGAAATGCTGCAAGTGCATGCAAGCAGGGAGGCTAAGGGCCTGGGACCTGGGCCAAGGGTGCAGGGAGAGGGAAGGGGAGGAGGGGGCGCCAGGAGCCCTGGGGCTCCCCACCTTGTTCTCTGTGGCGTGCTTCTCCTTCTCCACCTTTGTCAAGGTCAGCTCCAGGTCGTCGATGTCCCTCTTGAGAGAGGAGCATTTATCCTCCAGCGTCCTTTTCTTGGCCACCAGGTCAGAATTGATCTCCTCCTCCTCCTCCAGCCTCTCGTTCAGCTCCTTCACTTTGGCCTCCAGCTGGATCTTGCTTTTGATGAGGCCTTCACATCGTTCCTCGGCGTCCATCAGGTTGGCTGTTTCCTGGAAGAACCAGCTTGTGATGGGCTTGTGTTCAGTCTCATGGGAAGTTCTAGAAGGCAAAGGCCTCGTCCCCTAAGAGGCCAACAGTTGGACCCAAGCCAACGCTGGGGTCACGTATGCATAGCATGTGTCTGTGTCTCCCTATTATGCTTCTTTGTGACATTGCTCAGATCATTGAAAACATGCAACACTCCATGACTGAATAAACACATGTTACAGAAGGTTTTAAAAAAGCCTCCAAATAATATTTATTCATTTAGAAAGTCAGGGTCCATGCCATGGCTCAACTGGCTAAATTCTCACTTTGCAAGTGCCAGGTTCCCATGTGGGTACCGCTTTGTGTCCTAGCTGCTCCACTTCCCATCCAGCTCTCTGCTTGTGATCTAGGAAAGCAGTTGAGGGTGACCCAAAGCCTTGGGATCCCGCACCCGCTTGGGAGAACCAGGAGAGGCTCCCGGCTCAGCTCCAGCCTTTGTGGATTTTTGAGAGGTGAACCAGGGGATGGAAAAATCTCTCTCCATAAATCTGATCTGCTTTCTAACAAAATAAATAAAAGTTTACTTATTTATTTAAAAAAAAAAAGCTGCAGAGAGAGGGAGAGACAAATCTTCTATCTATTGGTTCACTTCCCAGATGGTTGCAACACCCAACACCAAGCCAGGAGGCCAAGAGCTTCATCTAGGTCTCCACTAAGGGCATCAGGGGCCCAGTATTTGCACTTTCGCCTTTCCCAGGCCATTAGCAGGGAGCTGGACGAGAAGTGGAGCAGCAGAGAATCAAACCAGAGCCCATGCAGGATGCTGGAGTCCCAGGCCATGGCTTTATCCACTGTGCCACCACGCCAGCACCTGTAGGGAGCACTCTGGACCATGATGAGCTCACCTTGTCCCCTGATAGCTCCAGGGTGGAGTGCTCTAGGGACGAGGCATACCACGGCAGACAAACAGAGGGTAAGAGACAGGCCAAAGTAAGTGGTTATGTTTATGGGATGCCTGTTCAAGGTCACATAGCTGCCAAGTGCAGGAGCTGAGGGCCAGACACAGTTATCTGGTGCTTAAACACATCCTCTTGTACACCACGCCTGGAAATGATCGCCCCGGTACTAACTGAAAGGGCGAAGGACTCTGGGGGTTTACAAAAGAGGGAAGAATGCAAATTCATTAACAGCGAAATGAAGCAATTACAGGAGTAGTGTGCACTGTGCAAAAGGTTTAAAATGCCGTCAAGTCTTGTCTTTTTAGCATTATCATTTTCTTGAAAATCACCCAGGAAAACTACTCTGTGTTCAGTTTGATTGTTTGCTATTTTTTTCCCCACTCATACAAAGTCAATTTTAAAACAGCCACAATCTCCTTAAAACTATAACAGGATGTAGTTACCGTGGACTAGTTTGACAAAGATTCTTCACATCAAAGCTTGAGATCTGGTTTATAAAAATAAACGGAGGAGAGTTTTCTCAAGACCTCCTGTGCATTCCTGACAGTTTATCATTAGGATGATCCACACGTGTCCCTCACGCCCCGTGAAAAACAGGGAGGAGTCCAATTCCTTTATGGTGTTTCCTTGCTGTTGTTGTTGTTCCCTGGGACACCCTGCTGAGTTTTTAGCTAAGCTTACAGGGACTGCCCTCCCTCCACTGGCATGGTGGCGCTGCAATACCGTATGTTAACACTGAGTGGCACCACTGCCTCTTGAATAGCCCCTTGGCTGGGACCTCCTGGTTCCTCCCAGCCCGTCCTCTGGATTTGCTGTTTCGCACACTCAGGTGGAAGGTACTTACAGACTGCACCTGCAGCTGGAGGTCATTCTTCTCCTGCAGCAGGGACACCATCTTCTCCTCCAGCTCCTTCCGGCGTGCCTCAGACCTGGCCAGCTCCTCTTTGGCCCTCTCGAAGTCTTCCTTCATGGTGGCCATCTCTTTCTCGGCCTCTGCGCTCTTGAGCAGGGGTTTGATCTTGAAGAACAGGTTCATCCAGGGCCAGTGCTTGACATTCATGAAGGAGCGGATGTTGTACTGGATGCAGAAGATGGCGTCCCTGTGTACACATCCGTGAGGACTTGGGTTAATAACCACAGTGTGCGGCACAACCCTTGGATCCCAGGACCTCCCTTCTTCCCCCAGGTGGGAAGGAGGCATGGTCCATTTGGTAGACCCTGTGATTCCAGAGAAGGTCTGCAAACGAGGGGCAAGGGTTGAGAGGTAAGAGAGAGATGGGGGCCATTTGGAGTCACCCACTCAGCCTGCTGCCCCTCTAGCACCTGGGGCTGGCAGTGACTGTTCTGGGGCTTTTTCCCACATTTGAATTTCTGATCTGCGCTTGCTCCAGCTGTGTCCCAGTGTTTGGCCGTATGGATCCTCTTCCTGCTGGCAAGATGGGCCAGCAGGAAGAGGCCAGTCCCCATCCATCTCCTAGCCTCTTGCCCTGGGAGCATGCATCTGTTTTCTTTATTTCTATCTGCCTTTCTCCCAGCACCACTGCCACTCTGTCCTGTGCCTTCCACAGCTTCATATTCACAAGGCTCACAGATATCTAAAAATACTGTTTTTTTGTGTGTTTTTTTTCCCTCTTAAACTGGCCCTTCTTTGAGATTTTACAAAGATCTCATTTCTATGCGGGCTTCCATTTGCTTCCCTAAAATGGATGCCTGGGCATTCCTCCCGACAGACCTGCAGCAACAGAGCTCTGCAGGGTGGCAGGGACCAAGGAGACTGTCCCCTGGAAACCTCTCCTTGAACCCATGGCAGCATCATCAGCACCGCAGCTGCCTCTCAAACATTCCTCCCAGCCACGCCCTCCTCCGTCCATCAACCATGTCCACATTCAAGTCCCCACTGCCCCTTGCTTGGATTCTGCCGTCCGTCTGGTCCACTCCCCTTCAGCTGCACTGTCCTCCTCAGTTGCCGAAGGGACCTGGCCCAGTGCCTCACTTTCTTGGGTGCCTTTCGTGGCTCCCCACTGCCCGGAGGACACAGCCTGGATTGTTGAACTTGATGCTTGCCTGTCCATAGTTCTAAGCTTCAATAACAGGCTTGCTTGTCAGTCTCGATGAGACCATCCTTTCTCAAGCTTCTTCCAGAAAATTCTTTTCTCTTGCTTACCCCCTCACACCTACCCCAACCTACCCACCAGGGTGCAGGCTGATTGGCTTCTTTTCAGTTCTGCAAGGCCTTGAATAGGAGGCTACAACTGCCCTCATCCTATGCGTTGAAGTCACCAGGCCACTGGCTACTTCCCACCCGTGTTAGCTTCCAGCCTGCAGGGTTCGTTTCCCCACCCCAGGGCTAAGCACCGGTTTTGTGGCTCAGGAAATGCTGCTTAAATGGATATCCCAAGACAACGGGCAGGAGGCGGCGATCGCAGCTGAGTGGGGAAGGGCAAGGCCTGCGTCACCTCCTCTCCATCATCTTCTTGAACTCCAGCCGCATCAAGTAGCCCCTGCACAAGGCCTGGGTACGCGTCATCAGAGTCACCAGCTTCTCATCTCTCATCTCCTCCAGAAGTCCCAAGAGCCCAGCTTTGAAAAACACCTGCAGGAAAAGGGAGAGCCCTGCTTTTGGTCCTCAGCAGGGGTTCAACTCAAGCCACTCCCCAGAGCCTGCTTCAGCTCAGTCCCAACCTGGACCAGAGTGGGAGCTGGCAGCAGCTCAGCTTCCAAGGACCCTGTTCTCAGTGGCTCTGGCCTACTCGGGAGCGCCCCCTGCTGGGCAGTGAGGTGGCCTGGTCTACAGGAGGCAGACACAGGTCAGAACCCAGTCAGTTGCCACGAAGCTCAGCTGCATGTGGATTCAGGGAGGTTCCAGGTGCATCACCACACCGTCCGGGTCCTGCTCTGTTCACCTGGGAAAGCCAGTTCCGTGCTCAGGCTCCCCTCATCTGCAACCTGCTGGGGTGCGCCAGTCGGCTCCTGTGCAGCAGGAAGAGCTTGGGCGCTGGGCCTCTGTCCTCACTGTCCATCTGACCTTCATCACTGTCCTTGCCTTTCTGAAGCTGTCATCTCCTGACCCCCTCCACCCCGAGAACCTGATGAGATCAGGACCATCATTTGCACTGTCACTCCCCTTCACAAGTCATTCTGAAAAGTCAGTGACACTTCAAAAAGTCTGCGTGGGAAGTGGCATTGAAAGATTGGTTTATATTTTAGTGAAAACTTTTTTTTTGAAATCCATACATAGCTATTTCTTTTAAAGTTTGTTTTTTTAAAAGAAAACCGCCGAGGTATGCAGGTTTAATTACAAATTTAAATTCACTAGGTGGTGGTTATTGATTTTTGTATCCCTGTAGAAAAAGCATTCAGCAAATATGAACTTGTAATGATGGATTTTAATTACGATACTTAGATTAAGCTATATACTGCTTGTAACTACTGCTGACAATCCACTACTCATTAAATAAAGCTAACCAACATATAGTGCTACAAAGATTATAGCCTGATTCTTCTAAAAATTATATATTTTTGAAAACTTAACGATGTTAATCATTTTGCCAAACTTATAAGTGTTGTTTGCACCGAATTACACCTTCTAAGTTGCTATTTCATAATATACAGTGTCTGAGTTTTTGAAGACCACTCTTATGCCTGCGTTTCCAACTTTTCTGCAACGAAAGAGGCTGGCTTTTTTCCATATTCTTTCTTTAGTTTCTTTCTTATCTCTGTATTTCTAAGGCTCGTACACATCTTCTGTAAGCTGTCTGAAGCACCCTGGTGCGTACGGAAGGTTCCCAGGGCTGGTTCACATGATGCATGGCAGCACTTCGCTGCCATGCATGGAGTTGGTCGCTCTCAACTCTTCCCTGTCCCTGGAGCTTGATCTCTGCTCTCTCCCTCCTCCCTCAGCCTCTTCCTCCTCCTAAAGCCCCTCCTCCCACCTCTCCCCGCAGACCAGAACTTCCCCCTGCTTTCTCTACAGGTTTCTAACCTGAACATCTGGTCACCTACAGCCCGCGTGGAGCCAGCACTCTGCAGCCATGCACACAGCTCCCTTTGCGCTGCTGCACCAAGGGTGGGTCACGTCGCCCTGAAGGGGGACAGCTCTGCCCCTGAGCCGCCAGCGAGCAGCCCAGGCTTGTGGGAGTGGCGAGGGCATCCTCACCTTGGTGTGGCCAAACTTGTACTGCTCTCGGTCCACGTCGATGGAGCTGAGCAGCTTCTCAGACGCGTTTTTGCTGTCAATGAACTGCCCTTCTGGGATGGCACTGGCATTGAGGATCCGGTACCTGAAGAAAGAGGCCAGGATCTCCTGAGTGCCTTGAGCTCCCCAAGTGAGCCTGTGGCTGGCCTTCCAGAACTGCCCTTCTAGGTTTGCTCCAGCCTAAAAATATTGTACTGCAGGCCTCGGGGAGGAGAGGTCCTGGGGTTCATTCCAGCAGGAGGAAGAGCTTCGTCAGGGGAAGGATACTCACCGTTAAAATTTGGCTTTTAGAAAAAAATGGCAATTTTCTGTGATCTGCAAACAATGATTCTCCCTCCACCCCACACAAAGCTTGGAGCCCATGGGTGCTGAAAGCCATCATTTCCTAAAGATGGCCCTCAGAAGGGGAGAGCTGCCAAGGTCTGGGAACCTACCGCTGCTTGAAGTCAGCGTAGAGGATCCGGCTGGGGAAGCCTTTGCGGCAGATGCGGATGCCCTCCAGGACCCCGTTGCAGCGCAGTTGGTGCATGACCAAGAAGTGGTCCATCACACCTGGGGAGAGAATGTACTGGAATCATGTCTGTGGCTTTTTCAGTGTTTGTTTTTGAGGCTTTGGGATGCCATGAGACACTCCAACATACCCAGATTTGTGTGGAAAGAGTTTGAGTCAGCTCTGAGATGGAGGGGTTGGGGTGGCCAGAATTTGCCCATAGATCTCACAGATCCCACAGTAGAAATAATTCCATCAGACTCTAACACTCTATAACTATGCAAATAAAAGCCAAAATATTGACATGTATTCTGTCCATGGCTCTTGACTCTGTGGCCAGACTCCAAGACTAAAGGACAAGGATGTACGACCTACAAGCTGTGTTACAGTGGGAGATGGGAAACAAAAAACTAAGAAGGAGAACTGGGGCTGACCTTGAGGCCCAGTGGGTTAAGCTGCTGCCTGCAAAGGTGGTATCCCATATGAGCACCAGTTCGAGCCCCAGCTGCTCTACTTTCAATCTAGCTCTCTGCTAATGTGCCTGGAAAAGCAGCAGAAGATGGCCCAAGTGCTTGGGTTCCTGCCAACTATGTAGGAGACTGGTACAGAGTTCTGGACTCCTGGTTTCTGCCTGGCTCAGCCCTGTCCATTGTGGCCATTTGGGCCATGAAGCAGAGGGTGAACAATCTCTTTCTCTCTCTGTCACTGCCTTTCAGATAAGTGAAATACATCTTTAACCTAAAAAACGAGAGTTGTGGCAAGTGGCAGAGAAGTTTGAACACAAGGGAGCTGCTTAGTACCTGCTACAGGGAGCAGTGGGGAGCCCTAAAACTTGGGTGAACAAGAGGAGCCACAGGAACAAGTGTTTGCAAGGAGGTACTGGCTTGGGTCAAGCACAGAACCAACTGGACCTGGGAAAGCTCCCTTTTGGGACTATGATTCTCTAGTGAAGAAGTGGACAAGACCAAGGAGAAGATGCATCAGAAACTCTGCCAATTGCTGACCGGGAGTGACACTACCTCTCATAAATTCTCAGATGACGATTCTGAGTGGTTCCAACCCCCTGTGCTGTGATGTTTACTGGTTACGTGAACTTAAGACTTTTGAATCACAGCGTCTGCTTCATATGGCTGTGAGGAGGACTGAGTGAGTTAAGATGGGAAAGAGGTGTAAATAGCCCTGACACTGTGCCAGGTCAAACAGCTGTTTTGTTGTTGTCACTGCGTGTTACCAGGCCTGGTAGACACATGGGGAGAAAGGCATGATTAAGAGGACAATAGACCCTCTCGTCTGGAGGAAAAGGTGCAGACTGTAGTTTGATGATGAGGAGACCAGACCTGCCACTACACCTTCTGCACTGTGCAGCTTGTTGGGACTAATGCTCACAAAGAGGGCGGGACCTTCCTCATCCTCTCTTAGACTCCACGCACTGGTGATGGGATTTGTGGGGGACTGGGGACACAGAAGGGGTACACGCCTTGCTCTCAAGGGAGCTGCCACGCTGGGATGGGACTCCCTTCTTGTGCAGGGCCCCCTCGTTCAGCTGGGTCTACAGCTTTCCCCACCAAGTCCAGGCTGAGATGCTATTCAGCAGGTCCACAGAGTCCTCCTTGGCCTCTAGAGCAACACCTGGAACTTCCAAGGAGTTCCCTGAGCTACGCTCCATCCTCCTCAAGCTACAGCTGCGGAAGTGTGTCTTTCCCATCACCTGCTTCCCCCTTGTCCCTTCCATCCCAGTCTGTTCTGCTGTCCTGGACTTCATGGGCAATGGTGATAACCATACTTTCTTTTTAACTTATACTTTGTGATGCTTTGAACCCTTGGGGTCTTGATGATTTAGGTGAGACTGCACCTTCCAGGGCTGGTTAATTCCTAATTATACTAAGTGATTTACAAGGATATCAGAACCAGGCTCCTCTATCTGGGACCCACAGCTGCCCTTTCCTTGGTCCCTGGGGACGGTTCCTACCCCTTCAAACCAGTCTGAAGCTTGTTTAAGTTAAGCAACTGCTTGTCCTGTCTCACCCATTGTCTCCCTTGTGATCTGCCCTTGTCCTTCCCCCACATGTGTGAGCTTCCCTCTTGGGAACTGTGAGTGACAAACTACTTGATATCCACTGACCTGCTGGCCTCACAATAGCTAGGGAGCACTTGAAGGAGTGACACAGAGTAGAATCCTCTATACACGCACACATGTGTGTGCGCACACACACACAAATGTTCTTGTATGTGCCCCGGGGAGTTCTGTTCTGTTCTGGTTGATGGCGACTCACCTGGAGTCTTGGTCTCATTGGGAATCAGGCATCGTACAAAGTGCGGATGAGTGCTCCTCAGGTTGGTCATCAGTTTGTTTAAGTTTTCCTGTGACACAAACCGAAAAATGCATGTTCATCTCAGCAGATGCCACACCCCGGAGCCAAAAGACAGCTGAACATGAAGTTGCCCGATACGAACCCTGAACACGGCCGACACGGTCTGGAATGAGGAGCCCTTCTTCTTCCCGCCCTTCTTGCTGCTGTCACCTGCAGACAGACACAGAAGGGCACGTTGGGGGCAGCCCAGGGGATGTGGCAGTGAGCTTGCTAAGCCATTGATGAAATGGCTTCAAGCCTCAAATGGGAATTTTGGTTTCTTGACATAGAGAATCGAGGGTTGGTTTGCTTTTGACACACCTCCAAAGAACCGAGATTTGAGCGAGATGGGGGTGGTGTTTAAATGGGACTTGGACTTCACTGAGTGTGAAAGAGGGTCCATGCCTTTTCCAATCAGACAGGAAGCCCAACCGAGTCTCTGACGGGACTAGGAAGATCCTCCTAAGGCTGTGGTTTCCTTCAAGTCTTATAGCCTCTTTATCGTTGTCTTTAATGAAGACACGCTAGAAAATTTCAAGAATATTCTACATGTGATTTCTTTTGCTTGTTTTTTTCTAAATGAGACTGTTCTACACTCAATCTTAGCCAAAAGGCTGAAAAGTGATAGGCTATTCTATTTGCCCTCTGAGTCTGCAGTCACTGACGGTCTACTGTTTCTGAATGGCTCCACTGTGGACTTAGTCTCTGATCTTTAACCAAGGTTCAGCCTGGGGAGAAATGTTTTGTTTCACTTTTCCCCAAGCATCCTTTTCTTCATCTCCCCTGAACTCTGAGTCTTGTAGAAATGCATGCTTGGGTACTCGACCAGCTCTACGTCCACATGGGTTCTTACGTGAAAGTCATGGTGTTGCCCATGCAGTGGTAACCTGATCAAACACTTAGATCAATTAGACAGCGATGCTCACCATTTCAGTTGACGTATGTCCCATTTATCACATTCCTCTAGTCACAGTCTACTAGACATTTATTTTTCAGAAAATTCAATTATCCCACCAATTATTGGTATGCATTTTAATTAAAAGCATTAGTTTATTAAATATATACATTTAAGTAATTCACAATTTTTAAAGGTTTTTTTTTTGGCTTTTTAAGCTTTAGCTGTCATGGGAAGCCATTTTGGGGAACAGTTCAATGATTCCTCAAAAAGTTAAGCCTAGCTGCCACATGTTCTAGCACTCCACCCCTAGGTATATACCTAAGAGAAATGCCCATATATATATATCCACATGGGGGGTTGCATACAGATTTGTACAGCAACTTCACTAGTAATAACCAAAAAACTGAGATAATCCAAATGTCCATCAAATAGATAGAGAAAAAATTGGTATATTCATACAGTGAGTACTGTTTGCCTAGAGAAAGGAATGAAGTCATGGACAAATGTTGGAATTCTTAGCTTGAGTGAAAGAAGTCACACAGTATAGGACCTGATTTATAGAAAATGTCCAGAATTGGCAAATTCCTGGAGGTAGAAATGAGATTACTGGCTGCTCACTGGTTGATTACTTGTGCAAGGATTTTAGGATGAAGGAAGTATTCTCAAATTGAATAATGATGATGATTATACAACACTGTGAAAACATTAAAAGTCCTTGCATTTTTAGGGTGGATTTCATCGTATATGACTTAAGCTGCTTAGAAGTCTAGTGGGCAATGCACTAGTGCCTGTTTTGTCCAGCCAGAGGTCCTGTTTGCCTCTGCTGAACTCAGTCTCTTAAGGAAGAGGAGGATGATGGAACATGCGAACCAGAGATGAACTGTTAAACCAAGATCAAGTTCAGCAAACTTTGTATTTGCTGACTCTCCACGAGCTGCCGTGGAACGTGGGTACTTGGTAGCTATAGAGGGCTGTTCACAAGAGGAATACGAGGTAGAATTTCACCTGTTTCTGCACCCGCATAGTTGGAGAAAAGGAAGGATAGCAGCTTCAGTGATGACTTCTGGTAGAGCCCAACCACGGTCTCGTTCAGGGGGTCCTTGTTCTTGTCCAGCCAGCCAGCGATGTTGTAGTCCACGGTGCCCGCGTAGTGCACCAGTGAGAAGTGGGCCTCCGCCTTGCCTTTGACCACCTTAGGCTTCTGGAAGTTGGCAGACTTGCCTAGGTGCTGGTCGTAAAGCTTGTTCTTGAAGGAGGTGTCTGTGGCCTTGGGGAACATGCACTCCTCTTCCAGGATGGAGAAGATGCCCATGGGCTAGAAGGAGGGGAAAGAGAACATGCATCTGCATTGAATAATAGCGCGTATCACTGGCACAATGGTCCGGCAAGAGCAAGAATTTCTTTGGTGTTATCATTCTGGCACCAAAATACTAGACTATATCTCCTGGTTTGTGGTCTCTTTGGTGTGATGGCACAACAGTGCTAGGCATAGGCATGTGCTTAGTTAATATTTTGTTGAGCAAAAGAGTACAGAATGAAATTATCTGTATATATACATATAGCTCACTCTTAGCAATTGTGAACTTTACTTTTAAAAGTCTGGTTACATAGAGTACAGTCATAAACTAAAATGAGTCATTTTTTTTTTTAATTTGGATTTCTCCTAGCTACTTAGCAAGATAAAAATATTCTTACTGCAAGATGACCAGTGCTTAAAATGTTACGCAATTCTGTTTTTTATAAAGTTAATGTCATCTCTTGTTCTCATAGTAACATCCTGCCGAGAATTCCTACTGAACCCTGATCCTATCTCCTTGGGATTTGGGGCAAAATCAAACAGATAGGATAGTTCACAGTCTTTGTTGGGATTCCATTTGTCCTATTGGAGATAAGGAAGGCCTTTGATATTATTCACGCATGCATTTCTTTAGCTGTCAGATAGATTCTACAGATTCTGGGACTTTGCACAGATTTATCCTCTCTGCATACAGACATTCCGGTACCCACAGGCATCCAGCTGGGAAGAATAGAGTTAGGGGCATCATTCTATCAGTTGAGACAAGGCAAAGCAACAAGGTGAGAGTCATAACCAAGAAGGAACCATCCACTGGGCAACAAGAGTTCCCTACCTTCTCAATGAGCTCAATGCAGGCAGCCAGGTCCATCCCAAAATCAATGAACTCCCACTCGATGCCTTCCTTCTTGTACTCCTCCTGCTCCAGCACGAACATGTGGTGGTTGAAAAACTGTTGCAGTTTCTCATTGGTGAAGTTGATGCACAGCTGCTCCAGGCTGTTGAACTGAGGGTTTCAAACACCAGAGTGTGAGTTTGGAAAACCCACTGGCGATTTGGTAAAACAGATCTAAGTAGGGGGATATTTTTTTTGGTCATTTACCCAAACAACTCACATCAAAGATCTCAAAGCCTGCAATGTCCAAGACCCCGATGAAGTACTGCCTGGGCTGCTTGGTGTCCAGCTGCTGGTTGATGCGGGTCACCATCCACAGGAACATCTTCTCGTAGACGGCTTTGGCCAGAGCGCCCACTGAGTTTGTCACCTTGAAGAAGGATCACCCACTGAAGCCTCAAACTAGTTTTTTATGTTGCATGTGTAGAATTTGAAATATATAAAATTAGTGTCTTAAGGGTCCAAAGCAATTGGATACTGGCATGTTCACATAATTTGATCCATTGTTAAGTGTGTTTTTAGGTCTCTGCCCAGTTCATGATATTTTTCCTTCTCTGAGAACTGTTTGATTTACAAAGATAGTTTTCAAATAGCATGAGCATAACCCATGGCTGGCTGCAGTCCATGCCCACAGTTAACCAGACACTAAATCAAGTTTTTTATTCATCTAGTCACTCTCCTCAGATTTCTGGAATTGGAATGGAAAGACACTCGGTTTTAAGAAGCAAAGAGAGGAGCCCAGTGCTGTCGTCTAGTAGCTAAAGTCTTTGCCTTGCACGTACCAGGATCCCATATGGGCCCCGGTTCATATCCTGGTTGCTTCACTTCCCTTTCAGTTCCCTGCTTATGCCCTGGGAAAGCAGTAGAGCATGGCCCATGGCCTTGAGACCCTGCACCCGCATGGGAGACCTGGAAGAAGTTCCTGGCTCCTGGCTAAAGATTGACTCAGCCCTGGATGTTGCTACCACTTGTGGAGTGTGCCAGCAGATGAAAGATCTTTCTGTCTCTCTCACTGTAAATTTGACTTTCCAATAAAGATAAATAGATATTTTAAAAAAAGAAAGACAGAGGAAGTAAATTCTGGAGCTATGGGTTGGCTCTGGGTAGAAGTGGAAAGGGCTTGTCTGCCTAGCAGCGACCTGACAGAGAAGGAGGGAGATGGCAGTTATGGGGCATTAGCTGAGGAGCTCAAGTTGGCTCTTCATTTTCTAGCCCTGGCATTTAATGAGTACCCCTTGATTTGTGTTCCCTGAGTTGTTAGGAGGACTAACAATTAATGATGCATTTATAAGAAAACCAGTTTCTTATGCATTTTTGAAAGCTAAAGTTAAAAATATTTGAAAGATGATGATTAAAAGAGGAAAATACCAGAATTTACAGCATTCAGAGCATCTTGGTTACCTGCTGGACATTTTGCCCTTTGGTGACATATTCGTTCCCCACCTTCACCCTTGGACAGCACAGGCCTTTCAGCATTTCTGCAGAATTCAGACCCATCAGGTACCCAGCTTTGTCAGCCACTGGAGGAAGAGGAGAAGTGGTGTCAAGCACAAACAATAGCTGCTGTGGTGTGCAGGCCTGGCTCCTCCCACAACTGTTCTCCATAATCGTTTTAGATGTTTGTGTTCTACTATAGGAGACCTAGGATTGTCTCATTAAGCTTTAATTCCATAGCTCGGGGGCCTGTGGTTCTTAAGAACTTTCCATTTTCCATCTAGATACAACTTAAAGAAAACAATGTTTCTTGAGTCAATCCTTAAACCATTTATATTTCAGTTTCTTAAAAGAGCTATTAATTAGAAAATAAGTTAGAGTCTGATAATACCATCAAAATGTTACATAAGCAAAGAAGGCTGCATCATCCTGATAGTGGAGTAGCTACACAGGGTATCTTTCTAATTAATGCAGAATGTTGTGCTAATGGCTGAGAGAAACACACCAAACCTTGATCCCGCCTTCAAATGTTTGGAGATGGTTAAAACATGTGAGTGTGGACATTTTATATTCTTCACCATCTGCAGTCTGCTCTGTGTGTCTGTGGGTTCTACATCTGTGGATCAATTGAGCCAGACTGAAAATACCTGGGAGAAAAGTGCATCTGTACTGAACATATATCGACATTTTTCCTTGGTATTATTCCCTAAACAACACAGGTTCACAGCTGTTTACATCTTGCATACTTCAAATATTACAAATAACCTGGAGATGATTTAAAGCATAGAGGGAGAGTGTGGATTCTACACAAACACTGAGCCATTTTAGGTAAGGTGCCTGAGTACTCACAGATTTTTGGTGTCTGTGGCCAGGCATCCTGGAACTAATTCCCTGAGGGATGATCTGTACTTAGTTTCTTGTAGTTCAGTGGACGTTTATTGACTTTGAGACTGGCCTGGCTGTCTGTGTGGAGCACGTTGAGAAGTTAGAGAAATGCTCCTTCAGCCCAACGTTGTTTGGGACCCTCCCCTCGTTCCTGGCTGGGGAGATGAGTTAGTAACAGTCCAGGTCAGTCTTTGTTAACTGCTTACAAAGAGGTCAAATTCATGTTTAAGTCTTTGCTCGAACCATCTCCTTCCTACTTTGTCCATTATGGTAGATGGTACCTGATTTTTGTATTTACTTTGAAAAGCTCATAGATGATGCAGCCCTGCTTCTGTCCCATGATATGCCTATTCATCCCACCCCGGGACCTCTGGCCTCTCAGTGGTTTCCAACAGCTGTAGCCGAGGAGAGTGGGAAACTGCCCGGGGTTCACATTGATGCTTTTGCATTTGGGAGTTTCCATGTTGTCGTACCAACATGGAGGACAAGGTGCTTTTCTCTCTGCTCCTCGGTCCCCATCACATTCCTTCCTCTCTCCGTTGCTCATGACATTTCTTATGCCAAGACCACCTTCTCCCTGACACCTTCCAAAATCCTATGCATCTTTCCAAGTCCAAATCAGTGGCCTCTCTGATAGGAAGTCTTCTGCAATTGCCCCAAGAAAGAAATGATTCTTGCTCTGAACATTTGGGTCTTTCTCCTGATATTTAGCCATTACTGCTGTGATGAGCAGGATTCTAAATCTGCATGCCTCTGATAATGTCCTCTTCTGAGTGCGGGTGATTCTGTGAGAACAACATAAAGAGGTCTCCAACCAGCCACTCTGCACTGCTAAACAGGGAGATCACGTCCGATAGCCCTCACCTAATCAACAACACTGACAGGTGTTTGATAAGATCATACCTCCCTGGCCTTTAATTTACAAATTATCATTTCCTTTTATCGTCTGCTAAAAATATACTGCTTCACACACTACAGGAGCATAATTTAAAAGTAGAATCATTAGGGATGACTCACATTGCCAGCCATTTGCTCAGAGAAGTTTCAGGGTGTATGGTGAGAGTTAAGAGCTTAGATGAGTAGGATATACTGGGGGTGGGGAGAGGATGAGTCCCTTCACTATTCAGCTCCACTTTTTTCTCTCCACTCTATTCCCAGGCTTCTAGGGATGAGGTCAAGGGCGATGGGGGCAGTCAACCAGGTGAGAGTCAGGGGAAGATTTGTTCACTGGTCCCTAGTTCAGTGTCAGGTTCAACAGATGTCAAAGAGGAAGAATACTTAGCCCCAACTTTATTAAAAGTTACATTTTTTTGATACAAGTTATGAGTATAGTCAAGATTAATTACTTGCATTAATAATGATAGCCTGGAGAGAAAATGGGACTATTTTTCATAAAATTTCACTTTAAAAAATTAGGGAAAGTTTGATGGTGAGAAGGACAGAATGGATGGTGCTGATTCATTTACCAGAATGAGGTCTTTTGTTTAAGGATTTTCCACCAGAGAAGTTCTTGGTCAAGTGACTGAAGTTCCTTTCCTAAGTGAGTGGATGGGCAAGGTACTTGAGACAATCCAAACACACACTTTCGGAAGAGCTCTAGAGGTGAATGTGTAGCTCATCTTACATGACTTCACCCACATGCAGGCAGGTGGAGAGTCAGCTCCCAAGTCCCCTTCCCAGAGGTGAGTACCTTCAGTACCGTCTGGCTCTGCCTGCTCCTCCCGCTGCTTCTGCTTGAATTTCATGTTCCCATAATGCATCACGGCTCCTGTCAGCTTGTAGATCCCAACTTTCTCCTCTGAGCTGAAGCCCAGGATGTCAATGGCATTCTGGGAAACAAAATTGGACATATAAAGCCAAACACAGCTTTTTCCTGCTCACAAGACCTCGATTTTATCCTAAATAAATGGATGACAGGTGGGTTGTGAAACTTCTTGGCCATGTTTGTGTCAGTGGGATGAAGGGGAAAAATATGCATCATCTGGTTTTATCTATCAGGTAAGAACTGAGTGTCCTCTTCTCCCACTTTACCTGGCTTTGGTGGTTCTCTTCTGGACAAGTGTACCGGGAGTCAGTGGGTGAGCCTGGGAGAAACAAGTCTCCCAGGTAGGAAACAAGCTGTGGTGTCCAACAGCTCAAGAGTTTACTGCTGCTACATAGAAGTTCCAAGGCTGTTCCAAACAGATATATTACACATGACAAAATTTAGAACTGGAAGTAAAGTTCATGGACGATACACTGTCATCTTTTCACATGAGACAGAAGCAAACTTTTGCAGTACCACTTCTATGTTACAGGCATTGAGTAGGTACCATCCATGTATCACCTAATTCAGTCTTCATGAGACACTTTCAGGTGCATAAGTTTATTTTTTTTTTCCAAGTGAAGGACTAAGGTTCTATGAGAGTAAGCTGCCAGCAGTGGCATACAATATATACTCAGTGTTATTAGTGTTTACGTTATGTTTTTATTAGCATACTATATTATGCAGTATGATACTATACAATGAAATATTGGCATATTCATATACCAATACATATTTATATACTATTATAAATATATGAATATTATTGTATATTTGCAAATACATCATCATCTTATTAATACATTGTATTAACATTACTGGTTGTGTCTGGTAAGTAGCCTGTCACGGTGTGATCATTGTTCTGATTTTTAACCCTACAGATCATCCCCAGGTATCAAGGCTCCCATTCCACAGATGCCCGCAAGGGTGAGCCCGAGGTGACAAGTGGATGAAAAAGGCAGGGGCTGCTACAGAGATACGGCTTTCCCCCCACCACCTTACATTTTTCCCCCCTATTTTCTAGAAGACCTGGAAGGTGGCTTTGTACCCAGAAAAGTTTCTACACTTGTACTATTTAAAACCTCACAAGTGCAAAGCTTTATTCTACTGAAAGTATTCCTGAAGATCTGCTTTGAAGAACCTTCTGGATTCTCATTCTGGAATCTTGTAAAGTAGTGCTGAGTGGAGGTGGGGGCAGTCTGTATTGATTCTCTGTGTTCTTCATGTCTGGGATCTCAGTTCTAATCATTTCACTCTTGTGGATCTCAGATTTCTCAGGAGTTCACTCAGTTGCCTTCACAGCTCACAAGCTCAACAGTTCTAGGTACCAACAAATAAACAAAGCACTTACATCCGTGGCCAAGAGTTCTTCACTGTCATCAATGCTGGCTACTGTGACCTCTCCTTGACTCACGAAGGGGAAGTCAAAGGGGTTGGTTGAAATCAGAAGTAGGTCTGCAGAATACGAAGAACCCTTTAACATTTCATGCACAACTTACTCCAGGGTTGTCCTCCCCACCCTCCAATACCACTGAAACAGAAGGTTAGGAATGACATCTTGAGAATTTACCAATTAGTTCTGGCTTCTTGTTGGACATGATTTGATAAAAGATATGATAGCTCCTCTCACTGGATAACTGAAATGTCACTCTGGATTTTTCCAAGAGATCTAAGTGAAAAAAAAAAATAGTGTGACTTTGGGCTCCTAAAAGAGACCTTTGTGGACAAAGACCAAGGTGTTTGTTGAGGGCTGGACTCACAGGTTTCGATGTCTGCCGATGCCAGCTTTCCCGTGGCTCCAAAGTGAATCCGGATGAACTTTCCCTGTCCAATGGCACGTTGGCAAATACCACGGTTATTTCATATATACAGTTACATGGGTGGCTTCTGTTAGGTGCCACCACCGATGGGTGGCATGCACAAGTCAGGAAGGAAGTGAGGCAGAAATGTGAACACTGTCCTCTTATTCCCACCAACTGGGTGAGCCCAGATCCGGGTAGTTCTGCCAGCACTTGGTCCTGTTCCTATATCTCAGGGGATGCCTGCAGGTGCCTTCTCCAACTCCACCTGGGCCCACTTCACTCCTGACTGCTGCCTTGGGCTTCATCAGGCTGGCTTACAGCTGGACTTACAAACATTCCAGCATAATGTCTTTGGATTAACAATCTGAGTGCCCTGTTTGATTTAGCACTTCTTTTCCTCTGGATTTTTTTTCTCAGATTTCTTGCCTCACTTTTACATATAACTCATTAGAAGCATCTCTAGCTTCTAGAGCCAAGGTTCAAGTCCAGTGCCCTGGTTGCCAAAGCAGTCCCTCGGGGTTTGGGCTGCTCCCTTTTTGGAGAGAGGTGAAATGGTGTGTGTGTGTGTGTGTGTGTGTGTGCTCTTATATTATCTGCTTAGTTGGTTCTATACCATAGTAGGAACAAACATGAGAGCAAAAACACTGCCTTGTTTGTCTGCCCATAGAGTTTGGAATGTGACTGGTGCTCAGTAATATGCTCAGTACTGTCTGAAAACAGTCTGCAAGGAAGCAGTGAAAAGATGGTGGAGATACGTGTGAATTGGAGATATGTGTGAATTGTAAGTGCTGGATGTTCAGGATTTTTTGCCACTTCCTGAAAGATGACAGGAAGTCATACCTTTAACCTAAAAATGCTTGGAGAATGGAAGGAAGGCAAAATAACTGGAATGATTGTGACTTTGGGTCCAGATCAAGAGAAGAGGCCTGTGAACTAAGTAAATAGAAGTGTTTACAGGGCGCTTTCTGAAGGCATTGCCTGTCATGCTTGTGTGAGCACAAAAAAACTAACCTGGTCCAACCATGAGCAGAATATCTCTGACATGTAGCACATATCCAGGTTCCCCTTAAGGAAGAGGAGTTTCATTGTGGAAAAGATACGTGCAAATTGATAATCTACAGGGTTCAAAGGGCATCTCCCAGAATGGAAATTCAGAACCATGGTATTTGATGAACACATATACCTTTTCATCAATAGTTATTTTCTTTTTGAGGAATGATGAGAAAATGTGAATTGAGATACCCGGCCAGTGAGATGTGTGGAGTTAGGATATATTTTTGTAACTGCAGGCAAAAATGAGGGCTTCACCTCTTGGTTCCTACCCTATTAAACATTATTATTTAGAGGACTATTAATTAGAAGGCTGGATGTTATTTATTTGCCAGTATGGAAGTAAGTAGCTCTTTGGCGGAACTAATCTTAAATTAAACATGAAAGGATGAAAGGATGAAAGGACAGACTATATCCTTCAATATCTTCAGTATCAACTTGCTACTTTTTTTGTTGTTTGTTTTGTTTTTAACTCCTCTGCTTTCACCCATTCTCCCTAGTCCCAATGCTTCCTGACCTGGAGGAAGTGCGCTCAATCCATTCACATGAATCTCTGTGTGGCTAAGATAATGGCTGTTGTTCAGTGGACTTTTACATTTTCAAAGGTTTCCACAGAGATCAGTGCTAGCATGCAGGAACTGCCTTCCAGCTGTGCCCTTGGAATCACTGTGACGACTTCAGAATGCCGCAAGGTGATGCTGACTACTCAAGGAAGTGCAGCAAAGTCCTCCCTCTCTGTCTCGATTAAGCCAACTTGTTCTCTAAATTATTTTAAACTATCCCAACTGGGTAGACTGATCTGAGTCTAGTTCAGTTTCATATGCAGTATTTGAATGAAGGGCGGGTAGAAGTAGAAGAAAACTGGACTGATCCTTACGAATCTTGAGGAGTTGTCATTCCTTACGGTCTTGGCATTCCCAAAGGCCTCCAGGAGGGGGTTGGCCTGGATGATCTGATCCTCCAGAGTTCCCTAAATAGCAACCGGCAGAAGAAATGTGAAAGAGAGGTCTCACAAGAGACCCGCTGAATCAAAAATTCTCAGACTGGTTAGTCGGCAGTTCAGGAGCTGAGGGCTTACTGCTGGCATCTGAAGAGGGTGGTTAGGGACTGACACTAACTCTAGGTAGATGGTGTCAGAATGCAATAGAATTGTACAACCCTAGTGTCTGCAGAGAATAAGAGAATAACTTAGGTATGAAACTCACACATTTGGTATCAAAATTGTTCTGTGTGAGCACAGGGAGAGAGGTTTTCTCTCTGTTGGGCACATGCCTACACGCCCTTGGTGATCCCCCTCTTTCTCAGTTATGCTCATTCTGGTAACCCCTTGGTGTACACCGCTGCCCACCTGCATTTTGCCTGGCTGCTGTTCCTTCTTCTTGTCCCCAGTGACTGCAATTGTTGCAAAGTACTGGATGACACGCTTGGTGTTCACCGTCTTCCCAGCCCCGGATTCTCCACTGTCAATTTGAAAGGCAGTGGGGGTCAAGGAATGAGGAAAGGCCATGACTGGCTGCTGAGTAATTGTGCACACCTGGGTTACTCACGTGATGAGGATGGACTGGTTGTCTCGATCTGGAAACACAGAGGGAAGCAGGACAAAACTAATCAACAACAGATAGAACATAAAGAATAGGGCAACAATGGTTTTAGGGCACAGGCTTTAGTTGTGATTTGGGCAATATCTAATCTTTGGGACAATTTTTGGAGATTGTCCAAATGTGCAATGTGTAGCAATGGGCAACCTCGGAGGTGACAGTGACATTAATAGTGTAACAATCATTCATGCTCATACATCTTTTACTCCTCAGTACCACTTTCTTATCTCCCTTTTTAGCAAAGAAAGCAAGTATCACTTCCAGCACTTGTAGGAGGTTTAATTTCTAAGTTCTAATTAGAAATTATGGGGAGGAAGGGGCAGGACTGTGGCACAGTGGGTTAAGCTGCCACTCGCAATGCTGACATCTCATACCAGAATGCCAGTCTGAGTTCTGGATACTCTTTCTCTAATCAGGCTCCTTGCTAGTGTGCCTGGGAAGGCAATGGAAGCTGGGTCAAGAGCTTGGGTCCCTGACACCACACAGTCCTAATGCTGTGGGTGTTTGGGGGAGTGAATCCCTAGACGACAGATCACCCTTTCCCCTGTCTGTTTCTTTGAAAAACAGTCTGTTACTGCATTTCTCCTTTATTTATTTACTACTATTATTTGTTATTTTTGCTCTTTTATTTCATTTACCTTCTACTTGTGGAAAATGAATACCGGCCTTCCAGTCATAATATTGTACAGATTGAGTTGTGTCCTTTTACAATTCATATATTGAAGTCTGAATCCTCAGTACCTTCCCGTGTCTCCTTATTTGGAATTTACATGTAAGTAAGATGCAGGTATAAGATGCACATGTAAGCCAGATGCAGGTGCAGGTGTCTAAGTAAGATGCAGCTAAGTTGTGGTCCGACTGCAGTGGGATGGGCCCCCAACCAATGTGACTACTATCCTAACATGCACAGAAAGCCGAGGATGGACATTTTGTGTAAGTTAAGATGCCATTTGAAACATCCACATTATGTCTGGGTCAAGCCCCAACTCCGCTTCCAGTTCTAATAGCCTACCAAAGAACTCTCTGGAAGGCAGTAGTAGATAATGGCTCAGGTGGTTAAGTCCCTGCCACCCACTTGGAAGATCTAGATTGATGCTGTAAGGCTCTTGGCTCTAGCCCATCTCCAGGCATGTGGCATTTGGAAAGTGAACCAGAATATGAAAGAACTGCCAATCTTTTTTTGTTTGTTTGTTTTTAAGATTGACTTATTTTTAGTTTGAAAGGCAGATTTTTACAAAGAGAGATACTGAAAGAGGTCTTTCACCCACTGTTTTATGTCCCAAATTCCTGTGACACCAAGAGTTGAGCTGACTAAAAGCTGGGAGCCAGGAGCTTCTTCCAGATCTCCCAGATGGGTGCAGGGTTCCAAGGCTTTGGGCCACCCGCTACTGCTTTTATAGGCCACAGGCAGGGAGCTGGATGGGAAGTGGAGCAGCTGGGACACAAACCAGTGCCCTGTAGTATGCTACTGCTTGCAGACAGAGGACTAGCATGCTATACCACTATGCTGGATCCCTGCCTATCATTATCTCTCTCGTTTTCTCTCTCCTTTTTTCTCTTCACTACAAATGAAATGAATTTTAAAAATGGAAAATTGGGGCACAGACTTGCATATGGGAGAAGTATTGTGTGGAAATAAAGGGAGAGATTGGGGGAGGCCTCCACAGGCTAAGCAAAGCCAAAGGCAGCCAGGAAAGAGCAGAAGCCCAGGACGAGGGCTGGAGCACATCTTTCCTCACAGCCCTCAGGAGGTGCAGTGCTGCCCACACCCTGGTTGCAGACTACCAGCCAACAGTTTCTGGTGTTCACCCAGTCCTTGGCACTTCGCTGCTGCAACAAAGCAATTCAGACGAAGAGCGACACTCATTGCCCCCATTAAAATTGTAACTTCAGCCAATTTAAAGAGACATGTTAAATTTTGAAATTTGGTGAAGATCATGGACTTTAAAGAGAAATGACTGAAGGCTGAAAACATTATTTTGGGTGATTTCTAAACATTCTTGGACCGCAAATGCCCTCTTCTACTGCTTCTGTCCATGCCTAGTCTAAACAGGTGATCAGGTGAAAGCTGAATAGATAGATGTGGCTTATATATATTTATAGTTTTGCATCAGTGTTCTTAACAATAAATAAACATTTCTTACAGTTTAAAAAAAGAGATAGATGTGATATTAAGAACATGACATAACACAATTACCATATCCATATTTCTGGTATTGTCTTGGACATGTGGGAAGGGGAAGGAGGAAGTGGGGATTGGTGGGAAACAGGAAATGTGATCTGGCCATAACCATTGCCCCTAGTCTGCCTTCTCTAAGTGCCTACTCATGTAGCTTCCCTTCAAGGATGCCCATATGGTGGCTTCTCTGGAGTTAGGGACAGGGTAGCTCACCAGATGAGCATGAACTTAGCACGGTTTCAACCAGGTCCACTGTCTCTGCTATGTGTTGTGACTGGCTGTAGAAGATGCTGCATCCTGGCTTTTCCTTCTCATTCCATTGGCTTCAAGGTTGAACAGGGTCTTGTGTAATTAACTAAGAGCTACTCCAAAGAAACCAAGAATCAGCAGAAATCACTCACCAGTCAGCATGAACTGATAGGCGTTGTCAGAGATGGAGAAGATGTGGGGCGGGGCCTCCTGGCGCTTTTTGCCTCTGTAGGCTGTCACCACCTCAGGGTTGTACACCGGCAGCCACTTGTAGGGGTTGACGGTGACACAGAAGAGCCCTGAGTAGGTCTGGAGGAAACCAGAACATTCAATGCATGCACCTTGCTTTTATTCAGAGGAATAAATGGGATACGAGATGTCTATGGGCACTCACATAGATCATCCAGGCTGCATAACGCTCTTTGAGGTTGTACAGCACAGCGGGCTCATGCAGGTGGGTCATCATGGCCATGTCCTCGATCTTGTCAAACTTCGGAGGGTTCATGGGGAACACCTGGTCACTGTTCAGAGTGAGCGTCTGGGTTGAGAGAACAAGCAGCCAGTGAAGGGGAGAGAGGGTGACTCCCACATGCTCTACTGGAGTGCTGGAAGTTGTGAAGTACTGGGATGCAATGACTCCAGCACTCTGAATCTTTTATGAGCTAGTTTCATGTCCAGAGATGACCCATCGGTAACTGGCCTTGACTAATCTGGCTTTGGTCAAATTGTGTGAGAGGACTTTTAAAAGGTCATGGAAAAGGGAACTAAAAACTAAGTTTTTATTTTGGTGCAAAAAAATTAAATTTCGTGTGTATTACTTTCACTCTGATCTTTTTACAGAGATTCATTTATATATTTGAAAGATGGACAGACAGAAAATGAGCGGCAAGGACACAGAAAGAAAGATCTATCTGCTGAATCAGTCCCCAAATCCATGTAATAGCCAGGAAGGAACAGCTGTGCCAGCCTGAACCAGGAGTCAAAAACTCTATCCCGGCCTCCCACATGGATGACAGAGGCCCAAGCACTGGCCTGTCATCTAATGCCTCCCAGGTACACCATCTGAGCCAGAACTCAAACCAGACACCCAATATGGGATGTGACTGTGCCAAGGGGAGGCTTAACACACTGCACCATACTGCTTGCCCCATGATCCTTTGAAGACCCTCCATGTAACCAATTGCTTCTGTTGGCCCCAAGGTGCCTTGAGTGAAGCAAGGAGACAAAATCTGGAAGGCTGGAAAGCACTACACCAACCTGTTCTGGGCATTTCCACTTCAACACTCCTGCTCATGTGCGTTCTGTTGTCTAGAATGTCTTCACTGAAATAATTCTAGAAACTTTCAAGGTCAACTCAACACCACCTGTTCTAGGATCTATTTTCCCTCTCCTTTGGGTCTTCCAGGCCCTCATAATTCCTTGCACATCTGCTCTAACAGGCTACTTGCATTGCATCATAGTTCACTGTTAAATAGTAGTTTGAGATTATGATTGAATGTTTCCTCTCTCTGTATTCTTGTCTTTCTCCCTCCTTCAAGTGTATAGCTGACTCTGCACAACAGAAGACTGGGCAATGCAGAGAAAGAAATTTATAAGTCTTTCTGGGTTTTGTTTTCCAAGAATTCAAGTCTTAGAAGAGCTGTGTGAGTTTTGCAAAGGAGAACTTGTGCTGGGCTTCACCCAAGGACGAGAAACCCCTCCATCCCACTATGCTGGATTAAAAATACCTAAGGTAGCCAAAAGAAGGCTGGAAAAAATCACTTATCCTGAACCTTTAGGGTATGGGATTTGTTTCTTAATAGAGTCTTCAGAAACACAGTGAAAATCCACTGTGCAAGAGATTCTGAAAATATAGTACAACTCTGAGATAGAGGAAATCCAAGAGCAGTCAAAGAAAAAGGGACTGATGACAGAGGTTAAAGCTCAATGATACTCGTAAAAATTAAGGGCAAGATCTGTTTCTTATGCCTGAGTATGTGAACTGAGATCCATGCCTGCAATATCCACTTTGATTGCTACACAGCGATTGGTCATCCCTGGGAAAGCAGCTACTTATGTGACTGGGTTTCACAAAATTTGCAGAAAATGAAATTAATGGATAACATATATCTTCCCCGAACTTTCTGTAGCCACTCTTATTGCACAATGACTTTGACCAACACCTGGTGGATTACTAGTAGATATTGAAGAACACTCTAATTTTCCACATTAAATTAGGTGACACTCCTCTTAGAAAGTCACTTTGTGGCTCAGAGAGCTGTTTGCTTGGTCTATCCAGCAGGAGACAATATCTGTCTCTCCATTTAACACAACAACCTCTTCCACCATCACCTTCCACTTTCCAACAAAGCGAATGCCACAAACCCCTCACAGCTAAGTCTTTGAAGAAAAAAAGAGGTAGAAGCAAATGTATGTTCAATAGCACCTTTGCCCGATTGTTTCATCACAGGACATATCAGTAGAAGCTGTGCTCCGTGTTTGATCCTTACAGACTGGCACTTGATGTCCACGACCCTCTTGCAAAGAAAAAAGATGACACCTGTGTGGTCAAACATACCTGAGACCAATACTTACCCGGTCATCTAGGGTTTTGACGATGACCTTGTCATTTTCCCTGCTCTGGATCATGCCTTTCACATACATTTCTTTCTCATCCACTGCAAAGCAGGCTTTCTTGGAGTCAAAAGGGCGATTTTGATCCTCGATCCTCTCCTTCTCTGGTTTCCGGAGGTAGGGAGCTGCTTCTCCAAAAATGGCCATCTCTGCATCGGAGCTCATGATTGCAGGAGGCTAGAAAGATTCAGGAGAACTGCTGAGTGTTGCACTTGGTAGCCCTGAAGTTTCAAGGCTCCACCTGTTACTGCCATTCAATGAGGGGTCAGAGAGGAAGGCTCCTAGGATGAACCTGGGCCCTGAGGATCTAAGACCAGGTCTAGGAACTTAGAGTGGGTAATTTTCTTCTCCGAGTGGCAGATTTGGGAATGTATCTTAGTTCAGTGACTGGAATGCCTATCATTTCTAGAGAAATCCCAGGTAGCTCAGTGAAAAGTCAGTAACTTGACTGTAAAGATTTGTTAATAAGATGAGAAGAGACATGATGACCCAGTACAGTGGTCCAAATTTATAGTAAGACCAGATCCCCTGGAGAGCTTGCTAATACACTGATTACTGCATTCCATTCCCAGGGTTTCTGATTTTGTAGGTCTTGGGTGGAACTTGAAAAATTAGCATTTCTGCCCAACTCCTGGATGATGTGATGCTACTGGCCCAGGGATCATACTGGTGGAATCATGCTTTCTTCTTCTGAGTGTGGGTCTTGAACTGTCACATCGACATCCCCCAGGAGTCTGTTAGACAATGCAGAATCTCAGATCTACTCCAGATTATTTATTCAGAACCTGCCTCTTAATATTTCCAGGAGGGTGTGTGCATATCAAAGTGAGAAGTGCCTGTGCAGTGCTTCCCAAACTTTTACTTGTTTCTCTTACTCCCTGTCTGCATTCCTTTTCCCTCAATTCCACTATTCATTTCCCCATCTCATTCTTCTTCCCTTCCTTCCTCTCTCATCTTCCCTGTTCATTCTGCTGAAACTGCCATAAAATGGATTTAAAGTAGTACACACACACCTCTTCACATCTTTCTTAAGAAAAACTTGGGTTTTTTTAAAAATAAAATTTAATGTTGCTACTTTGAAATGGGAAAGCTGAGCAAGTTGCAGTTCTCTCTTCTGCCATTGCTGTTCACTGGGAACTGACCATTGTTTAAATATCCTTTCTTATTATTCTATGTTCTTTCTGGACTTTATTCAGATTAACTGCAATTCAGCTTTATCTTCTTTCATTGGCTCTCTTGAACTATCTTGGGGCTTGTGGTCAAGTTTCCACAGCAAGACACTGGAATTTAATATAATATCCCCCAAGTGAACTCATGGCCTGCTCTCATCACACAGGTTTAAATTTTCTGCAACTGAAATGGAAAACCTATCCTTCAGGCCTTTATGCAGACTTCATCAGCCCTGCTCCCTTAGTTTGTGTTCCTCTGTCTCTGCTTTGATGACTGTAAGTCAATTCCTGACTACCGACAAACTTTCTAAATTAAGGGAGTGGTGCAAGCACTAGCCTGACTCTACAAGGCCCAGGTCATCAGGCTCAGAATTCAACTGTCAACTCTCTAGCAAACACTCTACCTCTCACTGCCCTCTGAGATGCTTCACCGGGACCCTAGGCCCTGAGCAAATAAAGTGATGAGCATCTACTTGTAGACTCCAGATGAACTGGAGCCCACTTTGCCATTGTACCATTGGAGGGGCTCACATCAGCTTCTTTTTCTGACCAACCTAAGCCATGTGCACTGTGGCTTAGGCTAGAAGTGAAATTTAATAAAAGGTTTTCTTATCAAATGTTTAGGTTATTCCTAAAACTGACTTGTTAATAAAAGAATTAATGTGCACATCTGGCTGTGAAAAATATGATGAGCACAATTTGGCATTGTGTTTTGATATGTGAGAAGGCACAAGCAGTTTTATTCATCCTTGCTTTTGCATCACTCACATAGTGAGCAAGTTGAGTGTTCTATGAAATTGTCCAACCTCTTGTATCTCTGATTCTTAAAGACTGCTGAAGATCCAGGACCACACATTGAGAATGGCTGCATGATTGCACAGGGCATCTTGGCTGGTACTGGTTTCATAGTCTTTATATTATTTAGATGGATTTAGTATTAAGATACTCAAAAGTGTTGTTGGAAGATAATCCACACTGAAACCATTTGGAAAAATGGAGTCAGGAATTTTTTTCATAAGACTTCAGTATAATATCTGGGAATCACAGTTTTTAAAGTATTATTTTACTGTTTCTAAAACAATGTTGCTTCAGGTTGTGGCTTAATACCATTGATTGTACACAAAATAATTTTAGGAAAACATTTCTGAATTTAACAATTATTATGTTTTAATTCATTACCTTATTTTATAAAAATCTAAGATGTGTGTTTCTACATTCCACAAATAAGCCAAAATGCAGTTCAGTGAAACCATAAAACCTTTTTTTGTGCATTGTTATATGTATCCTGATTTCAGAAGTAACATCTTGTGGAAAATGTGGGAAATCAGAATTGAGGGCCCGGCGCGGTGGCGCAAGTGGTTAAAGGTCCTCGCCTTTCACGCCCGGGATCCCATATGGGCGCCGGTTCTAATCCCGGCAGCCCTGCTTCCCTTCCAGCTCCCTGCCTGTGGCCTGGGAAGGCGGTCGAGGACGGCCCAGAGCTTTGGGACCCTGCACCCGCGTGGGAGACCCGGAAGAGGCTCCTGGCTTCGGATCGGCATAGTATCGGCCCGTTGCGCTCACTTGGGGAGTGAATCATCGGATGGAAGATCTTCCTCTCTGTCTCTCCTCTCTGTATATCCGCCTTTCCAATGAAAAAATAATAAAAATAAATCTTTAAAAAAAAAAAATCAGAATTGAAAAAAAATGATAATAGGTGCTTCCTATTTAAGGAATGTCTGTATTCATCTAAACTAGAGATATAAAACAGGAATTTTTCAGACTTTAATGTCTATGAATCCACCTGGAAATCTTCAATAGGTCTTGAGAGAGGTTAGATATTTTGAATATTTCAAGAGTTCTCAACTGAGGCTGACGTAACTTGTCCACACATTCATAGAAAGAATAAAGGGTAACTTTAAAAAACAAATCTAAGAAAAATACGAATCAATATAGAATGATTATTAAATGAACTAAGAGTACCAGTGTATTTTGGTTCATTTCCAGTATAACAACTTGGCGGGAATGGGGGATGCCCGGAGAATTGGAAAATTATGTGTAGGTATATCCCTGAGGCTGCTTCCAGATAAGACTGATGAGTGGGTAAGAAAACTGAATAAGCAAGATCCACTCTAAACATGAGCAGGCACCTGAATGAAACAGAAAGGGGGAAGGGCAAGACATAGCTTCTCTCTCTCTCTAGATTTTCCTTTTCGAGTTTAATATCTACTGCTGTTACCCAGAGAGATCAGACTTCAAGTTCTTTGGCATTTAGCTTCTAAGACTTGCATCCCTCATGCGACTGCTGAGCCTTCAGCCTTAGACTGGGGGTTGTGTCATCTGCTTCCCTAAGTTGGAGGTTTCTGGCATCTTGGCACTGAGCCATGAGACAGTTTGTAGACAGCCATCATGGAACTTTCCCAATCCTTGTGGTGTGAGCCTAGTAAATTCCTCACAACACACACACACACACACACACACACACACACACACACACACACAATGAGTATTGGTCCTATTTCTCTGAGGATCCTAATGCACGATATTAAATGGGTATTTCAACATTTATGATAGTAATGTTAGAGAAAAACTTGAAGAAGCTGGGGAAATCCTACAATATCTAATAGTTGAGCTATAATTTGTTTTCCTAGAAAAGCATTTCCATCTGCATCTCAAATCACTACTAGTTTTCAGCAGATTTTTCTTCTTCCAGCTACTCTAATGATTCGAAACTGATATCTCCTAATTGGGTCACCTAGATGATGTTTGAGGTATCTTGGCAATATTCTTGTAAAGATACTCCTAGTCATCAACATGTCCATGCCTCCTTATCAGACAGCTGCAATGATTGCATGGTTATTCTAGCTTCTCCTCAGCCTTGACTTTGCTATGAAAAACAGTCCCATGCTCCATGTTCATGTGCTTCCTCCATGGTGTACTTTAGAACCTCCCTGACTGTCCCAGTCCCTCTACTCTGATGCTACCCCTGTTAATCTCTTCTAACGTGATATCCAAGCCACATGTCACCCTCCATCAGAGAGTGCCCTCAACCTCTTTTGACCTAGGTGTAACGGCTGAAGTGGTGACTGCTGACTCATCATCACTGTCAGGCAAAGCTCCTCAATGCTCTCTGAACATGTGGTTGCTAAGTCAACTCTTCTCCCTATATTTATGCAACTGCCTATTAGGTTCCAGAGTAAAACTGTATATTCTTGGCTCAAGAACTTCATATTACTAGATATGAACTAGGTGTGACTCATTGTATTCCTGAGCTGTATCCTGAGAAACTTGCATCTCCCATGATTAGCTTTATGTCCAATGGGAAAGCATAACCTGCTTCCAATGTTACATAGCTGTAGCCTGTCAACCATCTCCTCCTAGTTGACATGGCTACCTCCATGACGACCTGTGAGAATACTTACGCAACTTGTTTCAGACTCATCAATTTCAGCTTCTTACGAATATGTCAAAGAAGAGTGAGAACACATAGAATAATATTTCCTGATTTCAATGTTTGCATTCATGAAAAAAAAAACTGGAAATAATTCTTACCTTGTTGGTTTCCCAGGTGATGGTGAGTGTCCTTCAGAAATAAAGGATCGTCCTTGGGATTGTTCAAGCAATAAAAAACAAGCAAACAGAAAAACTAAATGAACTACAAAGAATTTAAATAAACATAGAAACTGTGTTTATTCTCTATATTTAAATAAATACACAGTGAATGACAGAGGAAGAAAATAAATTTACTATTGTGCCTTTTCTCCTTTCAGTTAAGCCATTTGTTAGATAATAGGTTAATTGCAATATTTCATTTAATCTGTTTTGAGAATCTGTCCAAGGTACCAAGTTATTTCCTGAAAAGAATCTGACTAGGAGGAGTGCAGTTTAGTAAGAGTTCGGAGATCTATCCAAATTTTTTAATAAGGAAGAACAAGACAGATTTTCAGAAAAATCTAAGCCAAGTAGTATGAATGTGAAGCTGTTTCTGTTCGGAGGCCTGTGTGGGGTCAGGAATGAAAGAAGGGAGTGGAATGATCTAGACTTTAGCTAGGATTTTTACAGGAAGTCAGGAGAAGAACTGTGTATTGAGGGCCAAGACTTCTTTGAAAGTTCTAGGAAGAGTACATTCTCAAATGCTGTTTATTGCCCCCAGAGAAGTTCAAGGTACGATAGCTGAAGACTGGTCTAGGGTAAAGGAGTCTTAGCTTGGGGAGTTTACACCTGTGGTTAGCTGAAGGAGCAGTGAGTATGGAAAATTTCCAATTTCAAATTTTATTCAAAAGAGCTAACTTCCCATTTACTACATACTACTTTTATGGAACCAGGGAAACACACCATAAAATTACTCTCAAGCAGGCACAGATGTTCTACTATTTGGTTTTCTGTTCTGGCTGCCTGCTTCTCTCTCCTTCTACTGTATTTTGAGTCTCTAATAAACCCCCAGTTACAGTTCTAAAATTCATACAAACTTCTCATAAAAGAATGAAATGATTAAGTATATTTAAAATTCTTACTTTGTTTAAAAGAGATAGGACCTAGAGGCAGAGCTACCAATTTCTAATGGCAGTTTTAAGTAGTTGTGATTTCTTTGTGTTTTTGTTTTCTTTTGTAAGATGACAGGTGGACCAGAAAACCCCCAAGTCTCTTTTCAGCTCTGTGAATCTATAAAAGGAAGAGGATGTGTGTCTTGAAATCAAAGAACTACAGGTTTGCAAAAGCTGGAGTCCTCTGAAAGATGCTGTACATTGTTAGACGTGGGTCAGTGCAAAGTCCATTAGTCACATCATGAAAGACCAGCTTGCAATCAGGCAACAGAACCACAGGACAATGCATTCTGAGTTGGATGAAATGCTTGGATTAATTTCCTTTCTCTCAAAAATTTTGACATGGAAAACCAAAGTTACATACCGCCCCGCCCCCTAGAAAAAATTCAAGTAATATGTCAAGGTGGTTGGTAGTTGCAGAAAAGATGTAACAAGACAATACTTTAAATTGTTAACCAAATGGCATAACGCTGATCTAAACAGTCACAGGAAGAATTATAAATCATATTCATTTTTGTTCTGCCAATGGCTTTTTGGTTTCATAATTGCTTATACTCTTGTCTTCTCACCCCCTGGAGAGGCATCTTGCCTTGCTATCCTGTCTTTGCTAATGCCCTTAATACAGACCTTACACTAAATAGGTCTTCAGTGAGGGTTCCCAGATGGCTTTCTGTCCTTGCCTAGGAACCCAATCAGGTGTAATCATAGTTACATGGAGTAAAAAGGTGGGCACTTGTGACCACTTACCTTAAGATGCTGCGGTCGGAGCAACTTCAGGAGTGTGGTCCCCCAGCTCTCTTTATACTCCCAAATCTGCTAGCCCAGCACTCTAGCTTGGCTATATTTGGGGGATCACCATTTACTTGCTAGATGTAAATGCGTCGTAGCCCTGATCTCTCACTCTTGTTAAGTTACTTGGATAAATGACCAGCGGAGGCTGCATAATGCCAAGTCAGCTGCGTAGGGATTTTGACGTTGGACACAGATCTTTGAGACTTAGAGAGTCCTAGGGGCTGAGTGGAACTGGGGCAGGGTGTGCTAAGAAGGTCAGTAAAGGACAGAATCACAGGATGATTTACCAGGTAATGAGGATCAATAGTACGGAGAATCACTCAACCTCATTTATCTAGCATTGACAGAAATTTCTGGAAATCTTAAGAGTAGAGAATTTAATACTTCTAGTCCTACTTATTCATCTATTTCTCTCTCTCCACCCCCTCTAGCTACCTACCTATTTAAATTGGTTTATCTATCAGTCGTGTTAAAAAATCCATTTTGGGAGGAAAGTTTTGTACAATTTATTACACATTTCCTTAATTTATACTGCATACTATCTTGAAGAATCTGACTTTTTCTCAGTGGCCCAGGAAGTTCTGAGAGATGCTATCATGAAGTCCTCACGGATATTAGGTTCTTAGTATGTTTTTATCATGTACTTATTCCTAGACAGCTGTGAAATTTTGTGCCTAATTTTTAGTTTTTATATCTTTACCTTCATGGTCAAATTTTTAGGTATAAATTTTTTTTGTGTTCAGTGAGTTTGTCTTTACTATTGTGATTCTGTGTTATGGACTGAGAAAGAGATGAAAAGATTAAGATCAAGTTGGAGAAAGTTAAGTTCTGAGTGAGGATCTGAAGGTTTTCAATGAAAGCACATTGCCTGTGTGACAACTTTTATGGTTGCTCAGGGGATTTTCTGGAAAAGCCATAAATGATGTTTGAACATGGAAGAACATCTGTACATGTAGAATTTGGAGCCATTTTCAGTAATATCATCTGATATGTTTAAAGTGGTTGTGATTAACGTTGCCTGAGTCACAGATATTACATGCAATCTTGCAAAGGGTGAGTTTCAGACAGGCCATATCTAACAGACAGGGTCCACTGGTCACAGAGAATTTGTGGACAGTGCAGTAGTACAGAGGCATAAAACTGCCTTCCATACAGACTTTTCCAAAGTATATTTGGTAGGATGCTGATCCTGTGGGAAACCATGAAATGAGAGATTTTGCAATGAAATGAGTTTAGGAACTGTGGCAAACTCTATTCCCACCTGTTGGAGATTCATGATAAATATCAGCATATTAAAGGGGTTTGAAAAGATCCAAAGGGGAATATGGTTAGCCTTTTTTTCCCCAAGGGGCGAGACCTGGAATCTCCCTGGTAATCTGATAGTGTGATATTGGAAAGACCTTCTTGTTCCTTGCTCTAAAAAAATGAAAAGGAGACTGAGAGATGCAATCTGTATAGAGGTTTTTGCCCAGAGGAAAGCAACACAGAGTTGTAAGATACAAACACAGCTGCTTTCACCGAGTGGACGGTATTTCATAAGTAACAGATGCTCAGTTAATGCCTGTTGCCTTGAACAAGCAAATTAAGATGATTCATCGGAGGGGTGGGATCTGTGTTGTAAGAGGCATGGCATGAGAAGGCAGAAAAGGATGGGGTCAGGCACTCCATTTCACTGCACAGTAACAGTTAAGACGTGTAAAGAACTCACACAGGCCAGGATTTATGTATGTTGAGTCACTGAAGCTTTGTAATAGCTGTGTGAGTCAGATACTAAAATCATTCCCATTTCACAGTCAAGGAAACCGAGTCTCTGAAAGTTGAAGTGGATTTCCTAAGGCTACCTAACTGACTAGTAAGCTGCAGAAATTAGATGCCAACCCCCTCTCTGGATCTAGAACACATGTTGAGAACCTCTCATTTTTGGAAACATGTAGTTTTCAAGCACCTTCCTCGTTATACGGATATAGGGCTAGCAGACAATAAACCTATCCAAAGCCATTGACAGTAGAGATGTGAAGGGAGTATATAGATGAAAAAAGGAATTGCTTTCCCTTAACTATGCCAAAATGAGGGGGGATGCAGAATGAATTAGGTGTGAATGCAAGGTGTCTGAAAACTAAAGCATGCTGGGTGTAAACAATCACCAGAATTGTTTCTGTGTGATCACATTGCTTGGTAGAAGGGAAGGGATTTGCTAGGAGGGATGACTGGATAGTTAATAATAATGTTTCTGTCACTCTGTTCTGTTTATATATCATTTTTGGGTATTTTATGATGTGCAATCTTCTCTACAAACCTGAAGGATTTATTTTACTTTTTCTTTGGACAATGGGAAAACTGAGGCTGAATGAAATGAAATTGAATAACCCAAAAGCCCCCCAACTAGGGGGAAACAGATTCAGAATGAACTCCTAGGGTTCCTGACTCTAAAGTCACACTTTTTCTTCAATTCTCAACTGTCTCTCTTTAAATGAAGGGGACAAAAATCAGGTATGGGCTTAGGTATCTGAGGAATCACAGCTTAGGTTTTGCAGGAAGTGTTTTAGCTTGGTTGTAGCATAGGGTGAGATAGGGATTAACACACAAGGGTCAAGGTCGGGGATTTGGCAGGGCTTGTTAGTGATTGGTTTCCACTGCTAATGAGTCTGAGATCAGAGAGGAACCCTTGAGTTGGGAGCAGATCTCACACACACACACACACACACACACACACACACACACACACACAATTTTCTGAAGTTGAATCTAGAATCAGTGATAGGACAGTGAGGGAAGACCCTAGGAACGCAGTGGTTACTTAGTAATTGTTGAAAAATTATTAGTGTGAAACTTACTGCAATGATTACACAGGCACTGATGACTTGTAGAGGAGGTGGAGAGTTAGCCAGTTAGAATTAACTATTGGATGTCTATATTATTTCAAATCTATATCAAAACTCTTCACTGCACCAGAAGGTGGCTTTAATGGCGCTTCAACTCTGCTGACTAAAGGTGTGTACTGTACAGAATGGCACTTTTTCCTGCCACACTATCCCTTTTGGGCTCAGTAAAAAAAAAGAATTATTCTTCTTATAATTTACATATTCATTTTTATTTTGTTTGATAGAAAGCTGCGAAAAGATTTCTTACCACTGGTTCATTTCTGAATGCCTGCAAGAGTAAGGGCTGGATCAGTTTAAAACAGGACCCTCTAAATAAGAACTCCAAACAAGTCTCCCACATATAAAGCAGGGATCCAACAGTTGAGTCATAACCTTCTACTTTCTCAGGTACCCCTCAACAGGAAGCTGGATGAGAAGCAGAAAGATTGGGACTTGAACCCAGGTACTCTAACATAGCATGCCAGCATCCCAAGCAGTGATTCATCTACTGTACCTAACAGCTGCCCAGGAAACTCCAGGAGTGAAGCAGGTGTATTTTCAGGCTAATTTAAGACTTCTGTAAGCTCTAGGCTCATCTTTGAGGCTACCCTATCCTATCCAGAGGCAGCATGAGCAGGCAACTGGGATCAGGAGCAGAGCTGGGCCTCAGCCAGGCACTGTGATCTGACATATGGGTGTCCCAAGTTGCATCTTAATCACTGTGCCAAATGCCCACTCCTGAAGAGGAGAATGATTTATATTTGAGGTATATTGAGTTTGAGATGATGATGGCAATATTCTGCTGGTTGGCAGGTAGAAACAGGAGATTCAAATTTAAAAGAGAAGTTGGGGCCCTGGCAGCATGGCCTAGCGGCTAAAGTCCTCACCTTGAATGTGCCAGGATCTTATGTGGGCGCTGGTTCTAATCACGGCAGCTCCACTTCCCATCCAACTCCCTGCTTGTGGCCTGGAAAAGCAGTTGGGGACGGCCCAAAGCTTTGGAACCCTGCACCCGCGTCGGATACCCGGAGAGGGTTCCTGGTTCCTGGCTTCGGATCAGCGCAGTACCAGCCATTGCGGTCACTTGGGGAGTGAATCATCGGACGGAAGATCTTCCTCTCTGTCTCTGCTCCTCTCTGTATGTCTGACTTTATAATAAAATAAATAAATAAATAAAACACCCAAAAGGGAGCCCACCTGCAATAATTGCAATTAAAAAAAAAACTTAAAAGAGAAGTTAAGGCTAAAGCCTGGGTCTGTGTTTTGAGGTTAATTATCTGTGTGCACATGATAATGGAAACATTTTGGGGGTTGAGCTCCTATAGGAAGGCTGGATGTTGAGGACATGGGAAAAGCAAACAAAGGCAGAAGAACAATAAATGAATGAATGAATGAATGAATGAATGAATGCCTCTGCCGGCCTCCACGTTTCATCCAACCTTGATTCATGCCTTGGCAAAGAATCAACCACCACTTGAATTATAAGTGGACTGTGTTGACCTGACCTAAGACTTGGTAGGCAAGAATAGAAGAAGATTATATGACACACCTCAGAGTAAAGAATCTGTTCTATAAAGCCCATTTTTCTTCACATTGATGATGGTGGCCTTTTCATTCTTCACATTAGCTGTCTCTTGTAGAGGTCGTCTGTGATTCACCTATTGTCTGGGACCATGGTACACTGCCACAGACTTACTTATCTGGTTACTCAGCAACAGGAAAGTCCTTAAATAAAAGAGCACTTCCATCCTTAGAGGTGAGTTTGGCCATTAGATACTTAGGGTTGCATATACAGTACTTAGAAAAGTTCATGGGGCCCAGTGTGGTAGCCTAGCAGCTAAAGTCCTTGTCTTGCACGCACCAGGATTCTGTATGGGAGCCTATTCTAATTCTGGCAGCCCCATTTCCCATATAGCTCCCTGCCTGTGGCCTGGGAAAGCAGTCAAGGACGGCTAAAAGCCTTGGGACCCCACACCTGCATGGGAGACCCTGAAGAGGCTCCGGGCTCCTGGCTTCGGACTGACACAGCTTCAGCTGTGGCAGCCGCTTAGGGAGTGAAAGATGTTATCTTTGTCTCTTCTCCTTTGTATATATGACTTTCCAGTAAAAATAAAATAAATCT